GAAGCAAAGTGACTATAAAGATGTGCAGAGGTGAGCAGCCCTCTTTCCTGGATCTTCAAGAAAAAACACTTCAGGTGTAAAGAGATCCCCTGCACCTGGGAACTCTGCCTCTTAGCACATCTGGAAAGCGAACTAGGGACTCTCCTACAGAAGCCAGCACGCTTAAGTCAAAAACAGCTTCTTGGCACAGCACAGTAGCTTTCCACCTGGAGCCATGTGGCCCCCCTGGAGGTCTCTGTCTGGAGACATTTTCGGGTGTCATAATGTTGGGGAAGTAGTTACTGGCATCTGTGGGTGGAGGCCTGTGATGCTGCTAAACACCCTACAGTGCCCAGGGCAGCACCCACCACAAAGAAGGTCAAAGGGGCTGCTGCGAAGGGCTAGAGGTGAAGCTCAGTGGCATCGCGCCTGCCTCGAAAGTGCAAGGTCCTGAGTTTGATCCCCAGTACCAAAAAAAAGAAAGAGGGAAGAAGGGAGAGAAAGAAGTAGGGGGGAGGGGTAGAAGGGGGAGGGAAGAGAGAGAAGGAGAGAGGGAGAAGGAGAGAGGGAGAGGGAAGGAGTGGGAAGGAGGGACAAAGAAAGAAAGAGAAAGAAAGAAAAAATTACACTGCTGAGAAACCCCCCGAAAAGAAGAAAAGCAGCTTTGGAACTGAGACAGCCTGGGGTTAACCAGGCAAATCCCTGCACCTTTCAGAGCCCATCTCCCCATCTACAAAACAGGGATCCAGGTCTTCCAGCTGTAGAGCTACAGATCCAGCCCCCTGAGTCATTACTGCATGCAGCCTGGGAGCCTCCTGGTCGCAGGTAAAGCAGAGGACCCACCGGGGCATGGAGAAGGAACAGGAAGAGCCTGCACATAGAGATGAGAAACATGGTCACAGACCACACAGGGTCCCCAGAGCAGGCCAAACCCCTTCACTGAACCCCTAGAAGCCTTCTCCCCAGGGTGCCTCAGAGGATTTCCTTGGACAGTAGCTCCTATTGTGGGACCCACTACCGGGGCAGAAAAGGTCACAAGAGTGATGTGGAGATAGGGGTTTAAATGATGCTGAATCTCACAGAGAGAAAGTTACTCCCTTTCCATTCAAGTTTTCTCCATCAAAGAAAATGTCTTAGTTTAATAATAGAATAGAACTTCCCTACACCTGTTAATATCTGGTTTGAAGAGGGAACCTCAGGCTCAAACCTTCACTAGGCAACAGTACCTGGCTAGAACTTAACAGCACTGCTTTTACTCCATCTACTCACGGAACTTTCTACATATATCAAGTGATGATACTGTCTTCCCTTCCTATTTTCAAAAAGTCGTGATAGTGTGTTCACTATTGATTCCCCTTTAAAATGTTATTTAAGCTGAGTGTGGTGGTGCACTCTTGCAGTCGCAGCACTCAGGAGGCTGAGACAGGAGGATTACCATGAGTTCATGAGCCCATGAGTGTGGGCTACACAGTGAGTTCAAGGGCAGACTGAACTATACAGTGAGACACTCTCTCAAAAAACAATAAAGTTATTTTAGTTTCAATTTTTTTAGGCACGGTCAATTTGAAGAAAAATATTAAGTAATTATTAACACAAGTGATACAAAATTTGGTAGAAATCACATTCTGAAGGAGGTATGCAAATGACTAACTTCTAATGCAGAAAACCCTGTTTTAGGCTCTCTTACATTTCTCCCACCACCAACAGCCTCTCTTGACCTTCTCCCAAACTGTCTGATTTCACTGTTTCTTTCCTTCCCAGTTGACCTCCAGAAGCACACCTTGGATGCTTCCCACCACATCCTCTTACAGTCCAACACAGGGCCTGCTAACTCACTTCCAGTCTTTTATTTTTACTTCTTCAAGGACAGAGTGAAAGCACTCCTCAAGGGCAGGTCCTTACTATCTCACCCCATCCACTGGATCGTGTTTCTTCTAGACTCCCCAAAACTCAACAGATGAATAATCACTCTGCAGAAGGCTCCACCTGCCCAGTCATTTAGAGATTTCAACTTAAATCCAGTCTGGGGTCACATTTGTCCAACTGCTTTTGCCTCCAAAAATCAATTTCAAAGGCTCATGGTGCAGGGAAGTTGGGAAAAGTGACAGGAGCTTGGAGAAAAATATTTCAGGGCTCTGGCAGACCCCAATTTCACAAGGCCTACCGAAAATAAAGTAGCTGCCACCAAAGAGATTTCCTAAACTTCATCAACTGGAGGGAGGGATGGCAGGGGCATCTTACCTAGGCAGGGACAACTTGAGTTCTATGAGAAAAAGATACTCAGATGCAGTAAGAGAATGACAGGCATGTTCACCAAAAATCCATGACAAAAGAGGGAAATACTCAAGAGGAACTGGGGATATTGAGTCAAAAGAAACACTCAAGCCAGTAGTAGTGGTGTATGTCTGTCATCCCAGCAACCTAAGAGGCTGAGTCGGGAGGATTGCAAGTTTGAGACCAGCCTGGGCAACCTAGTGACTGAGACTCAGTTTCAAAATTTTAAAAAGGGCTGGGATGTAGGTCAGTGCAAAAGCCCTGTGTTCAATCCCCAATACCAAAGAAAGCAAAGAAAGAAAAGAAGACCTGAGGGCCTGGGATTTAGCGCAGTGGAACTGCACCTGCCTCAAAAGTGCAAGGTCCTGAGTTCAATCCAGGTACCAAAAAAAAAAAAAAGACCTGAGAAGAGTATGACTCTGTAAAGGCAATGATCTCATCAAGATAAGCATCAGACTTGTTCCCTAAGGCCCTGGGGAGTGTAAGAATATCACTCTCCAAAATAAAGTAGAAATTTTTCACTCTAATAACAACAGAACTGTCCACCAGTAGAGTGGATTGCCTCATAAGATAGTAATACTGAAGTATATATTAGATAATATCATGAAGATATTCCTTGTGTTTAACAATCAGCCCTCTGCTAGGCTGCTGGACATAATCATCCAATGGCAAACAGGGGTGTGGGGGGGTGGGAGTGGTGTTAATTGCTAAGGCTCTTTTGCAGCTGGAGACTATGTATCTATCTGAATTCTTAAGATCAACTACCACACTACACAATGCCTCTTCACATTAATCCTCACTAATCAAACACCAATTCCTCGTTCCACACAAACCCTACTGAGGGCTCTTCCTCTATCAAACCCTTTGCAGAGAAAACTCCCTTCTCGGTAAAGCAGCAGGGCTCTGACTTCCATGGTCGAAGGCAATAGGCAGCAGGTCTAAAGCAACTCCTCACGATTCCAGGAGTGTCTTTTAGGAAAATGGTTCCTTCCTGAACCCAGGTTAGAAATTAACATTTTCCTCTTCTCTGGCAGCAGCAGTGCCAAGACCTGGCAACCCATCCCCAGACCCCAAACACGCCCAAGAACCAGATAAAAGCAATGGATCCGTCCCGAGGCTCGACTCCCGGTGCTGGGGGAAACGCGAATTCCTTACCTTCTACCGAGGGTGAGAAGATAATGAGATTATCATACAGGAACTCTCCATACTTAATGAGAGACAGGCTGGGGTCATCAGCGGTCTTGAAGGTGAGTTCAAAGCCCCGGTCTGCACGAAAAGAAAACAGGGAGCTGAGACAGACGGGACGCAAAGGGAAACGCCTGCTGCATATAACGCGGCCTCACTCTCACTCCAGGCGTGGCCAGACCTAGGCGGTCCGCTCTAGGAAACCGAGTGGGAGAGAGTGGAGACGCTCTAGGAAGCCTTTCCAACACCAGACCCTCACCCGCCTTCCCCTCGGACCCTGCTTTACCCTTCAGGCTCTGGAAGAAAAGCGAGTGCGTATCCCGCAGGTTGAGGTTGTCCAGCAACACTAGCGTTCGGGGACCGCTGGCGCAGACTGAGCCAAGCAAGGGCAGCAGGAGCCATAAGAGGGACCAAGCGCGGACCACGGGGCAGGGATCCATCTTTCTCTTTCTGCCAAAGAATGCAGCACCTGGACACCGGAAGTGTCCCTACGTTATCCAATCACGGCTCTGGGCTGGGAAGCTTCACCCGGAAGTGATGTTGATCACCGCGGCCCGGTATCCAGAGCTACGGATTTGGCAGTCTGGAGCGGGAGCATTCCCGGAAGTGCCCCGGGAAGAGGCTAATTCTCTGCACTCTATTGGTGAAAGAGTCTCAAGGCCCTGCCTCCCTAAGGGAAAAGGCGCAATCCTAGAGAGACAGCTCTGCAGCCGCGGCCAATCAACAAGCTCGAATGCCACTTGGCTCCGCCCACCCCTGGTCCCGCCAAGGATTCTGTCCCAGCTTCCGACAGAAATTCGTGGTCTAACCTGGTTCACTGGGTGGGTCATGGCCTTGCAGTACTTGATTGTTGCTTCTTGGCCGAGCTCTGGAGCTACCTTGGACCACCTCATAGGTCCTCAGTAGTCTAGGACTGACTCAGAACTGGAAAGCAGACCCACCTCCCGAACACCCCTCGGGACCAAGGAAGTGGGAAAATAAGATCAAGGTCGAGCCAGGGATTTAGCTCAGTGGTTTCGCCGCCTGCTGCGCAAGCGAAAGGACCCGAGTCCGATCCCCGGTACGGGCGTGGGGGGGGGGGGATCAAGGTCGTGGCCCTAGGAGAGCCTATTCGCAGCTCACTGCCCCGCCCGGGGCCCCATGGTGAGGGGCGGTGGATTAAAAATGTGTAGCCTTGAAGGCAGACGCTGTTACGCGGGCCTCGCACTTCCCTTCTTGGCTCAAAATAGGAATCAGCGAGATCCAGCCCCCTATTTACTTGTGTGCCTTTGGAATGGCCGCTTAATTATCTCCTCCTTTCTGGGAGGATCAAGGCAGATCTTGAAGGGTTTAAGCGCTGACTTTTCCCCAAGAAGAGCTCTATTTTCCCGGGTCACACACCGTTTGAAAGCTCCTGCGCTCCCCAGAAAAATGCACTTGTACTCGCTACTGTGGGGAGCCGCAGAAACCCTGCAGCCTGCTGGTTCCAAAGGCCTCAGGCAGTAGTGAGCCCTGTTTAGCATGAGCGTCCCCATTACAGCAGGAAGGGCCCCCAGTAACACTGAGGAACAGAGAAGGGGAGCTCTTTCTAAAAGGCAGTTTATTGGGCAGCTTAATGTGCAGCAGCCTTCTTTGGGCCACAGTCCAGCCAGAAGTGGCCCGAGCAGAACGGCTGCTCCAGGACTTGTGTGCCCGTCCTGCAGGGCCAGGCTGTCCTCTGGAAAGGGCCACCTACACAGAGGCACAAATTTCAGTTACCAGGATGTGGGCTTCATCTGTGCGTCAGCTGCTGCCAAGGCTGCTGCCGAAGGCCCTACAGCAGGCCTGAAGCTGCGGAGCCCAGCAAGGCAAAGGCCACTCTGTGGCACAAGTTGCAGGCTCCATGGCCAAAGAGTAGACGGAAACACTAACGTGGCATAGACAGCTGGAGCAGGCCTCTCAGGGGCTCAGGCCTGGGCAGAGGTGGGCTCTGGGGAACAGGGAAGGGGATGTATCTTCCCGAGGGTGAGGACCCTCTTGGGCCCCAGTCGCTCTGGGAGGATGAGGGAAGAGGCCTAATAGGGGCTGGCCTGGGAGGGCCTGGCAGTTTAGAAGCCTAAAGGCAGGTAGCGGCAAGCAGCTGCCATCACAGAGCCTCACTGCCCAAGTTGCTTTTGATTTTCTTACGCTTGGCCTTGGTGAAAGGGATGTCAAGGGACTCAAGGCGGAAGGGCCGGGGCTGGGGCATTTCAAGGGCCTGGGTGGTTGGGATGGTAGAGTTGTTGCTGAGCTGGGAGCTGAGGCCTGGCGACAAGCTGTGATGCACTGTGGAGAAGAGAACAGAGGATATCAGTGAGCCAGGAGAGCAGGGGTGGAGAGGAAATGCCCCACGTGTGCAGGTTGGAGGCCTGGCCCAGCCAGAGCCCTGGCCCTGCAGCTGGGACCCCTCTGAGGTTGCTCTACTTGAGGTTTCAGACCCAACCAGAGGCTTGGGGTTGAGGCAGCCTTGGACCTCAGACCAGAAAACCTGGGTCAGAGTCCAGTCTCCCACTTCCTAGCAGTGTGACCTTGGGCAAAGCCACTCCACCTCTCTGAGCCTCAAGTTTCCTCATCTACACGACATAGACACCATGCCAGGCACTCAGCTGATGCTTATTCCTTTCCTTATTCTTCAATCTACTCACTCTGTCCCTTATATAGCTTCAGTAGAATGCTAAGATTGCTTTTTATTGCTGTTTTACCATAAACTATGGGATTTGCCTTTAGTTTTTGGTTGATGTTGCTTTGTTGAGACAGGGTCTTGTTATGTAGTTCAGCCTGACCTGAAACTCACTATGAAACCCAGGCTGGCCTCGAACTCTTGGCAACTCTCTGCCTCAGCCTCCTGAGTGCTGTGATTACAAGTGTGCACCACTACTCCCAGCTTGCCTTTAGTTTTTGTGTTTGTTTTGTTTTTGGTTTTTTGAGACAGGGTCTCACTATGTAGCCCAGGCTGGTCTTGAACTTGTGGTAATCCTTCTGCCTCAGCGTCCCAGGTGCTGGGACTGCAGGCATGAGCCACCACACTAAGCTATTGCCTTCGGTTTTTTGGTACCTGGAATCGAACTCAGGACCTTGTGCTTGCAAGGCAGGGGTGGTGCCACTGAGCTAAATCCCTGGCCCTGCCTTTAGTTTTAAAAGCATAAGAATCAAATGGTTTTCAGTCTTGGAATGTGTTTTTTTGCTTCTGGGGCTCCTCCTGCCCCACCCCACCTCCAGCTCAGCAGTCCTTGGCAGATGAAATTACCATGCACTTTGGGGACAGTTGCCATACTGGCCTCTGAGGAAGCCAGCTAGGAACTAGTAAGACCCACCCATGTGACCCACAAGCGGAGTCACATGTGACCTATTCCTTGTGTATGTTGGGGAGGATGAGTCAAACACTGTGGCTCCTCCTGAGGACACGGAAACAGGAAACTGTGTACTGAAGACCTGCTATGTATCAGGTTCTAGATGGGTGTTCCCTACCTTCTCATCTCTAATCCTGAGAAGCAGGTGTCACCCCTCATTTTATAGCTGTGGAAAGTGTGGCTCATAGAGGAGTGGAGGGTTTTTTTTGGCCCCGGGGATCAAACTCAAGTCGTTGCGCTTTCGCAGCAGGCGACAAAACCACTGAGCCAAATCCCCAGCCCTAGGAGTGGAGTTTTTGAACCCACATCTCCCATTTGGGGGGTGAGGAGTGCAGGAGCACAGAGCACTCACCAAGGCTCTTCATGGGGTCCGTGCTGAGGATCTGGCTGGCTCGCTTGGACCGGAAGTAGTTACTGGCAATATTTTCACTGTCACTCCGACTAAGCATCAGCCTGTAGCGGTCTTCTTCCTGCTGAGAGTCCAGATCCCCATGAGAAGAGTCCCTGATCTGAGCCCCTGGCTAGGGGCTCAGCACTTCCACAAGCCTGGTGGCCTAGGGCTGCACTGGGCCTCTCCAAGGCTGTGACACAGGGCTGAAGCAGTCACTACTGCAGACCCTGTACCCACGGGTAGCATCCCAGGAAACTGCAGACAAGGAGACAGTCTGTAAACAGGTCTCCTGCCCGTTCCTGAGCAGGATGGGTAATGCCCCATAACCCAAATCTCCCATGACACAGTCACAGAACAAGTGACACAGCTCACAACTGCCTTTATGACATACAACTGGAACCCAGGCCTTTCCATCACCCAGGCTGGTTATTTTTCTCTGCTATTCAGACTGTGTTCCTCACACTGAACCTCTTCCTTCAGGACCACCTTGTCCCACTGGACAGTCCTGGTGAGATGATCACTCCTGTGCCTACTGGGTCCTTTTCAGCAAAAGTTTGCTGACCCCTGCTTTAAGGATACACATTTCTGATGTACTACAGAATGTGGGAGACTTGAAAATTAAGTGACTTGAGAATCCCAATGGCTGATTTTTGAGGACCCTTTTGGTCCAAGGATATCAGCTGGGACCCAGGAAACTAGAATGTGTTATTTGTCCTCTGGATGTGAGATGCAAGCCTCTGTCACCAGCAAGATGGGCCACTATCTTCAAGCCATCTGTCTTCCCTCTGATCTTTTGGAAGTGCCAGTGCCTCTGAATGAGGGCCAGAGTGAGCTGAAGGTCCAGGCCCACCTACAGAACAGGGTCCAAGCTCCTCCCTGCTTCACCATTCCAGCAGGATGAAAGTCACCCAGCTCCCTATGCACCTCAGAGCCACTGTGCTTGGGGACAGAGCCCCTGCTCCCCACTCCTCCCCGACCCTGGGCCTTACCATGTTTGGCTCTCTGCTGTCTGAGGCAGAGGTTTTTCGGGCTGGCTTGGTCTGTGGCCCAGTTGGAACTGCTATGAGAAAACAGAAGCTGAAATGCAGGATGAGTGGTGCAGGTGGCCACAGTGCTGTCCCAGAGGGAGTCAGGCTCGAGGCTGGAAATGGAGGACGCTTCCCAGCCCAACCAAGGGACATCTTGGGAAATGGACAGCAGGAGGGCTCAGATGCCACAGAAGCCGCCCAACCCCATCCCAACCCCTAGGCAGGATAGCAGGTGTGTGGGGACAAGAGAGGCTGCTGCCGCCCAGGGCTGACAGGAAACAGAGCTGGCTGGAGTTTCAACAGGATGGTGGTGTCATGGCCACCAAAAACGTCACGAGATGTAGGGCCTGGGTGAACACAGACCAGGCAGGACTGCTGGGGGCCATGGAAGGGTGTAAGGGCTTGTCACTTCCTGAAGAGCCAGGTCTGTGGCTAAAGGCAGATTCACAACAAATCTGACTTTGGTCTGAGACAAGAGAGGTAGAGACTCAACAGACCCTGACACTCAACAGGGTCTTTAATGTCATCTTATCCAACTCTCTCTGCCAGAAGTCCAGAGAGGGACACTGCCACTATAAAGTGACACAGGAGGTCAGCAGCCAAAGCAGAGTCCTGACCCCTGAACACCTGGTCCTACAGCACACTGCTGTGCCTGACCTTGGTAAGTCACACCCTATGAGACTCAGTTTGCTCGTGTGTAATTAGGTGTCGTGATCATTACCCTACCCCGGGTTGCTGTAGATAGGAAGAGTGATGGTGATAACTGATGGGACAGTGCAACACTTGCTGCACACTGGGCAGCACTCTAAGGCACTCGGTGTCTGAGGACGCTGTATGCCTCCCAGAAACCTCCTGAGAGGTGCTGTTACTCATCTCCATGACAGATGAGGATGGAGTCCCAAGGACGTCACAGAATGGTGCAGCCAGAATCCCAGCTTATGTCTGTTTGTGTGCAGAGCACAGCACTCTCTCAGCCCCTCCGCATGTCGGATGCTTAGGTCACATGTGTGCTGACCACAGCCTACGGGGAACAGCCAGGCTCCCTGTCCCTTTGGCAGCTGGGAAGGACACACATGAGCCAAGGGGCAGCCGAGCTCCTGACCTGCTGGGAGGCTGGTTTTTACGATGACAGGTTCGGGGATCCTCCAGGAGCTGCTGTCCTCATCCCAGCTTGACTCGCGCCGGATCCTCTCCAGGTTGCTATAGTTGCAGTCCCTGCGGATCAGGGGCTGCACCTGCTCCAGGAGCTGCTGGAGGAGCAGGGAGTCTCGCTCCTGCCGCCGGATGGTGGCCAGGTAATCGATCTTCTCCAGCTCGAACTCCGACTGCAGGTCTTTGATCTCCACCTCTGCTGCCCGAAGCTGAAAGCCAAGAAGGCAAGGGGACCACGCCATGGAGAAAGGGGAAGGGGAGGAAGGGGAAATAAAAAGAATCAAGATGTGTCATGTGCATGTACCGGTTCCTAAGGATGAATGTAATCATTGTGTACTGCAAATGTACTAATACAATTTTTTTAAAACTTGCAAGCAAAAAAATAATGAAAGCTGTTATTTCTATCTAGATGCTCCTCAAGAGTCTCATGCACTCATGGGTGGGGTGATTGGATGGCAGGGGTTTCTAGCAGGCTTGCTAGAGGAGGGGTCTTGTCCAAAGAGGTGGGTCGCTGGGGGTGTGGCCTGGAGCGGTCTGTTTCCCTCCCACTCCTCCCTTGACTCTGCTTCCTGTGTGCCATGGAGTGAGCGTCTGCTCTTCTGCCATGCCCCTGTGCCATGCCCTGTGCCATGTCATTCTGCCAGTTGACTATAGACTGAAACGTGAGCCAAAATAAAGCTCTCCTCCTTTGTGTTGGTATTGTGTCTCAGCAATGAAGTCACTAAGACAAAAGCTAAGGAGGGATGACAAGCAGTGAGCACAAACTGCCCTCCAGCAGCCACCCGTCACCTGCCCATGGTCTGCTCACCCTGCCACTGCCACCACCACCAGCCAGCCCACCCCTCCATCCACCCATCCTCCTCCTCCTCGGATCCCCATGGCTCCTTCCACCCATCCTTCACTGTCCCTCCCATCTGTCAACACGGGGTGCAGTGAGCACTCAGTGTGTCCACAGCTGCAGCCTCCCAAGTAGCTAGGACCAGAGGCACATGCCACTGCCCTGGGCACAGCCATTTGTATTGAGGTAGAATTCATATGTCATACAATCTGCCCATCTAAAGTGTAAAATCAGTGGTTCTACAAAGTTATGCAACCATAACATCATCATTTTTTTTTTTTGGTACCAGGGATCGAACTCAGGACCTTGCGCTTACAAGGCAGGCGGCAGAACCACTGAGCTAAATCCCCAGCCCAGCCTTCTTTTTTTTTTAAGTTGCTTAGGCTGGACTTGAACTTGTGATCCTTCCGACTCATCCTCCCAGAGTGCCCAGCTAGCAGCATAGAAGTTTTTAAGTGGACATGCTTTCATTTATCTTGAGTATAACTGCTGGATCACAGGGGAATGCTATGTTTAACAAACTGGGGAGCTGCTAGACTGTTTTCCAAAATAGCTGCACCATTTGACATATCCACCAAGACTGTATGGGGTATCCAATTTCCCTACGTCCTCACCAACATTTGTTATGGTCTTTTTCTTTTCTTTCTTTTCTTTTTTCTTTTGAGACAGAGTCTTGCTATGTAGTCCAGGCTGTCCTTGAACTCAAAGCAATCTTCCTGCCTCAGCCTCCCAAGTGTTGGTATTATAGGCAAGTGTTATGTCTTTGATTACAGCCAAGCTAGTGGGTGTGAAGTGGTATCAAATCTGTGCTTCTGATTTGCATTTCCTGACAGCTGCTGCTGCTGAGCATCTGTTTGTGTGCCTGTTGGTCATTGGTGTATCTTTATCTTCTTTGGAGAAATGTCTGTTCAGATCTTTTGCCCATTCTTATATTGGGTTGACTGCTTTTTTGTTCTTATTTTAGTTTTTTGAGTCAAGGCCTTGCTGTGTAGTTCAGACTGGCCTTGAACTTGCAATCCTCCTGCCTCAGCTTCCTGAGTGCGGAATTATAGGTGTGTGCCACTACCCCCAGCTAGCATTTTTTTTTTGGAGTTGTAAGGATTCTTTATATTCTAGACACAAGTACCTTATCAGATATATGATTTGCAAGTATTTTCTTTCATTCGTGAGAGTTCCCTATGAAGCACAAAAGTTTTAATTCTGAAGTCTAATGTATCCATTTTTTTCTCTTGTGACTTATGTTTTTCATGTCACAGCTAGAAAATATTGCCTAATCCAAAGTAACAAAGATACACATCTATGTTTTAGTCTATCTTGTATACTTTTTTTTTGGTGCCAGGGATCGAACTTGGGACCTTGCGGTTGCAAGGGAGGTGGCGAAACCACTGAGCTAAATCCCCAGCCCTTCTATGTTTTAGTCTAGGAGATTTATAGTTCTAGCTCTCAAATTTATGTTTGATCTGTTTTGAGTTAATTTTTGTGTGCTCTGTGAGGGAGGGGTCCTGCATCATTCTCAGGCACAAAAGACTCTTCTTTCTCCATGAAATTATCTTTGTGTCCTGGCTATAAATGTGAGTTTCTCTCTGGATGCTTAATTCTGACCCACTGATTTATATTCCTATCCTTATACCACTGTTATACAGTCTGATTGTTATAATTTTGTAATAATTTTGAGATCAGGAACTGTGAGTCCTCACTTATCTTCTTGTGTTGACTATTCCATGTCCCTTAATTTCCTTGTAAACTTTAAGATCTGTTTTTAAACTTCTGTTAAAAATCCAGCTGGGGCCCACCACTTGCCTTGAAAGCGCAAGGTCCCAAGTTTCATCCCAGGTAATTAAAAAAAAAAAAAAAAAAAAGCCAGCTAGGGTTTTGGGCCAGGGATTGCCCTGAATCTGTACATCAATCTGAGAACTTTAGTTACCTTATCAATATTAAGTCTTCCAGTTCGTGAACATGAGATGTCTTTCCATTTATTTAGGTCTTAATTTCTTTCAACGGTGTTTCATAGTTTTCAGAGTATAAGGTTAATGCTTCTTTTGTTAAATTTACTCTTATGGTTTATTTTATTTAAATTTTTTGGTTTTTTGCAATACTAGGGATTAAACCCAGGATCTTCCCTGAGCTACCTCCCTGACAATTTTAATTTTTTATTTTGATAACAGGGTCTTGCCAAAACACTAAATCGCCCAGGCTGGGCTCAAACATGTGATCCTCTTGTCTTGGTCTCCTAGAGTGCTAGGACTACTATTATTTTTTTATGTAAGTAGAACTGTTCTTTCAATTTTATTTGTATATTGTTCATTTCAAGTGTACAAAAACAAAACTGATTTTTTCTCATTGATCTGGTATCATGAAACTTTGATGAACTCATTTATTAAATTGGTTTTGTTTTTGCAGTGCTGGGGATTGAACCCAGGGCCTTAGAAATGTGAGGCAAATGTTCCACCACTGAGCTCCACTCCCAACCCTTTTTTTTTTTTTTTTTTTGGTACCGGGGATCAAACTCGGGTCCTTGCGCTTGGGCAGCAGGCAGCGAAACCACTGAGCTAAATCCCCGGCCCTTCCCAACCCTTTTTTAAAAAGTGGATCCCTTAGGATATTCTATATGTATGTATCTTCAGATAAAGAGAGTTTTATCTCCTTTCCAGTCAGGATGCCTATTATTTGATTTCTTGCCCAATTGTCCTAGTTAGAACCCTCAGTCTGGTGTTGAATAGAAGTGGTAAGAATGGACATCTTCTTCCTGTTTCTGGTCTTATGGGGACAGCATTTAGTCTTTTCATTAAGTATGATGAAAGCTGTGGGTTTTGCATAGATGCCCTTGATTGGGCCAAAGCATTTCCCTTTTACTCCTAGTTTGTTTACTGTTATTACCATGACAAAAGTTAAATTCTATCCATTGCTTTTCTGCATCTCTTAAAATGACTATGTGCTGTTTGTCCCTTATTCTACTAGCATGGTGAGTGACATGATTTTTGAATGCTAAACCAACCTTGTGTTGCTAGGATAAATCCCACTTCACCAGGGTATGTAATCCTTTTCTATGTTGTTGGATTTGGTTTGTTCATACTGAGTGCAGCATTTTTGTCTCTATAATCATAAGAAATATTAGTTTGTAGTTTTCTTATGTCTCAGTCTGGTTTTGGTATCCGGGTAATACTGGCCCTACAGAATAAATTGAGAAGTAATCTCTTCTATTTCTCAATGATTTTTAAATACCTTTTTTTTTTTTTTTTGCGGTACTAGGGATCGAACTCAGGACCTTGTGCTTACAAGGCAGGCTCAGTGCCACTGAGCTAAATCCCCAGCCCTTAAATACCCTTTTTTTTTTTTTTTTGGTACCGGGGATCGAACTCGGGACCTTACACTTGCGAGGCAGGTGCCTGAACCACTGAGCTAAATCCCCAGCCCCCTTAAATACCTTTTTAAACCAAAAAGCTTCATTTTACAAACAAAACCTAGTTAGAAAATATAATGGAAGAGAATGTACCCCATATAAGAAAGCAAACAAAATACCTACAAATTAAACTAACAAAATAGGTTCAAAATCCAAATGAGAGAATCTATGAAACACTTGTGTATGACACAAAAATTGATTTGAACCAACAGAATGATACACCATGTTCCTGGGGATGAGAAAACAAGCTCATGTAAGAATCAATACTCCCAAGCTTATTTATAAGTGTAATGTGACTCCCTCAAGAAGTCCATCTTTTTTCTTTCATTCTTTTTTCTTTTGAGCTACCCAATTGTTTACAAATTCATATACAAAACAAGAAAGAATCCAGGACCAGAGATTTAGTTCAGTGGCACAGCGCCTGCCTTGCAAGCACAAGATCCTGTGTTCAGTCCCTGGTAACAAAAAAAAAATCCAGGAAAAACTTGGAAAAGAAAATCATTGAGAGACAATTAACCATATGTGATAATAAAACATATTATAAAGTCAAGGTCAGGGACATGCGACTGTAATCTCAGAGACTCAGGAGGCTGAGTTCCCAGGAGGGTCGAAAGTTCAAGGTCAGCCTGGGCAATTTAGAAACTTAGGGACACCCTGTCTCAAAAAAAAAAAAGATAAAGCCTGTTTTAAACAATGTGGTTGCCACACATGTGTGACAGACAGCAAGAAAAGAAAGTAGAAAACTCAGAAGAAGATCTAGATGCACTTAGAAATTCAATATTGCCTAAACGGAGGACCTTAAATTGGAAAATGAATGGCTTTTCTGAAAAATGGTGCCTAGGATATACAGATGCTATTTGAAAAGATAATAGCAAATCAGAACCTCACACATGTACCGGGGTAGGTTCCAAGTGAATCAGCGATTTAAATGTTTCCAAAACAACATACAAGTTCTAGACAAAAACATGAGTGAACTTTCTTAACTATGACTCACAATCTATATGCAAAAATCCCAATTAATTTGGCATTTTAAATGGCAAAAATACCATAAAGCACAGCAAAACACAAATGAATAATTGGGGGCAAAATCTGCAACTTATATCACGGACTAAAGAGTTAATGTCCCTAAGTATATAAAGAGCTTCTACAGACAGAGAACAGAAAGACCAACCACCCTAATAGAAAACTGGGCAAAAGATATAAACCCAGCTCAAAGTGGAGAAATTGCAAACGCCCCCAAAACATATGAGAAAATGCTCAATACTGCCCACAATAATAAAAATGCATATTAAAACTAATCTGGGGCCAGGGATTTAGCTCACTTGTTCCACTGCCTGCCCTGCAAGCACAAGGACCTGAGTTTGATCCCCGGCACCAAAAAAAAAACCAAACTAATCTGAAGGGGGCCAGGGATTTAGCTCAGTGGTTCTGTTGCCTGCCTCGCAAGTACAAGGTCAGGAGTTCAATCCCCGCTCCCAAAAAACCAAACCAAAACAAAAAAACTAATCTGAGATATTATTTCTCATCTAACAAACTGGCAAAAATCCAAGTTACTCGAATATACTCGGTTGGCAAGGCTGTGAGACAACACATGTACACACTGGTGGGAATGCAAAATAAAGCTCGCTCTCTGGAGAGAAAGTTGCCAATATCTCGAAAAATCACACAAGCATTTACTCTTCATCCCAGGATTCCAAGTCGAAGCAGTAGAATCCAAAGAAATCTACCAAAAATATACAAGTTGCTGAATGCCTGTCGTCCCAGCTACTCATCTCATCTCAACACACACACACACACACACACACGCACGCACGCACACCCAGAATATGCACATCACTACAATCAAATGTAGATAGGAGGGGCTGGGGACTTAGCTCAGTGGTTCTACCACTGCCTGCCGCAAAAGCGCAAGGTCCCATGTTCAATCCCTGGTACCAAAAAAAAAAAAAAAAGAAGATATAATCAAATCACTGGATATGATCAAATGTTGAGGACTGGGTGAATAAACAGTGATACAACCTCACAAAGGGGTGCTATGTAGCTATAGAAGAAAATCTCTCTATACTGAAATGGGGTGACCATCAGATTATGTGAAAAACGCCGGAATGAGGGGAGAGAGTGTGTGTTGTAGCCACTTTCATCTAAGAAGGGGATGGTGTGTGCATGTTTGTGTGTTTTTGTGTGTATGCACATACATAGCACATATTTCCTTGTACACATGTTCCCTGACATATGATAGGGTTATAGTCACAATAAGTCCATCATAAATTAAAAATATTGAAAATTGGAAATGCCCTAATACACCTAACCTACCGAGCATCACCAGCCTTCCTAAAACATCTTCAGAATGTGCCAAGGACTTAGAGGCTGCTTTTGCTAAAACCTTGGCTCTTCACTTGGGTCTTATGTCCAGCAGGTAACTAAAACTAGGGTGAAGCTTGGCATCTCTGTCTCCATTTTGTAGCTCCCTCCTTTCCTACCTTAAAACCCTGAGTCAGATTCCTGCTGGACTCTGCACGGAGGCATGTTAATCATTTAAGAAGTGTCTGTGTAAACACCGGTAATATAAAGTGGATTAACCCATAATTTTACCTAACTTCTCTCAGCCCCATCCCCTTCAAGACTGAAGACACCAAAGTAAAATATTTTCAAGATTCCGGGAACAGCAAACCTTACAGGCAAATCCCCCACAAAGTGACTGTAGCCAAGCATGAGCAATTGCCCAGCGGCAGGAACTGATCAAGATGCCCTAAGCAAGAACAGTCATCTCAAGATGGGAACCAAATTGCTTTCTCAAGTGACAGTGACTTCTGTGGAGCCACCTCTCAGAACCAGACCTGTGATAATGATCAACCAGGCTAGCTTTTAACAGAACGACTTAATTATGCACACCTCTCGTCCGTCCCGTTTCTTCCCCTGTTTAAACCTGAAGCTCATGACAGTACTCCCATGATGGTTCATATCTGGATGTCCCCCCCACAGCTCACGCGCTCAGAGGCGGGGCTCGTGGAAGGGTACTACAGCAGACTTGGTGTTTGGAGGAGGAATCTGGCTGGAACAGGCAGGTGAGACCTTGATTTAAAAAAAAAAAAAAAAAAAAAGCTGCTAGGTGTGGTGGCACATTACTATAATGCCACCACTCTGGGAGGCTGAGACAGGAGGATCATAAATTCAAGCCCAGCCTGAGCAGCTTGGCAACTTAGCGAGACTTGTCTGAAAAAAAAAATTTAAAGGGCTGGAATGTAGTTCAGCGCAAAATCCCTGGGTTCAATCCCCAACACCAAAAAACAAAACAAAACCTACACGATTCATGATTACAATGTTAACTTCTTTTCTTCTTCTTTTTTTTTTTTCAGTACCAGGGATCAAACTCAGGACCTTGTGCTTGCCAGGCAACCACGGCACCACTGAGCTAAATCTTCAGCCCCGATGTTAATTTCTAAATAAACTTTCTTTAGATTTACAGAAACCAGAACACCTGGTGGCCCTCAGCTAACATGAGAATGTGTGATGGCCCTTATTCTTTAAGTCTGTGTGTGAACCAGTGCAGAGCATGTCCTCACTCAGGACCCTGCACTTGCCAAGCAGGCGTGGCTCCACTGAGTTAAATCCCAGTTGTGAAGTTTAACTTGCAGAAAGTGATACATTAGTAAGTGGCCCCAGAAGATCAAGGTCTTTGGTGATGTTCCAGCCAGAGGGGAAAAGGGAGACATGGCCCTGGATGACAAAGACCCTGCTCAGCATGCAGCCTGCCTGCCCCTATCCCCCAGCACGGTCTATCCCTCCCTATGAAAGAGCTTCACATCCTGAGTTCTCCAAGATGGTTTCTTTGGGGGAGAGCAACTCCCTTCCCATCTTCCCAGGTCCCAGCCCTTGTGTAAAGCTGACTTCCCACCAACTCGCATCTCCTGAGTATTAGCTTCCAAGTGTGAGGAGATAGAGCACACGACTGCTGTGTTTAGCAATAGAACAGGGCATGGTACACAGCAGGTGCTTAATAAGTGCTCATGTGAAGAATGCAGGGACTCCAGCTGCCTGCAGGCTGTGGGGTTGCCTGGACGCGGGGTCTGGGCACACAGGGACAAGGCCTCACCTTCCTCTGCATCTTCTCCAACAGCTTGCTCTTGGCTCTCACTTCCTCCTGGATGGAGTCGTAGACATTAAGCAGCACCCAGTCCCCGACATCCTCTTCCGAGTTCTGCAGCGCGGCCACCAGCTGTTTTTTGCGTTCATCTGCGTACCGCTTCCGCCGCCTGTGCTTCTCCTTCAGGTCCTTGTTCTTGGCCTGCTCCCCGCCCACCACCTGCTGCTCCAGCAGCTGCAAACTGCCGGTGCAGAGGAGACAGCAAGCAAGACGGCATGTGCCGATCAGTGAGCATGCGCCATCCGGCCTGGGGCTGAGTGCTGCCTCACCAAATCCCTCCCACAACCCCACTTCCGGGAGAGGTAAACTGAGGTGTCGAGAGGTGAAGCTGCTTGCTCGAGGTCAGAACTAGAGTTCCTCCCAGATCCACTCAGCTCCAAACCTGGGCCCTTTGCTGCAGGGAGGGCAAGATTCTTCCTGTGGGCCTGGAGCAGACTGACCCCCAGCCATACGCCCCCGACCTAAAGGTCCCTGTACAGACGCGGCTAGTGTCTGTGCCCAGGGGCAGCCAGCAGGATGAAGCTCACCGTGCCGTGGAAAATGCCCGAAAACTACAGTGCCTGATGTTTGGTCAGGCATAGGAATACACGGTAGAGTTTTTAAAAGCATTTCTAAATAGAGTAGTAAAAATGTTTGAAGTTTTGCCCTTTAGGGGTACAAATTTTAAATAACTACAGAGGAAGGCTCACGTGGGACTCCCTGCTGCCTAATAAAGCATCCCCAAAATGCTTCAGGCTCTGCCTCTTCCAGAGGGGTGGAAGGGCTGGTAACAAGAGGCACCGGGCATTTGAGAAGAGGGCTGGGGTCAGGCTGGGGGTGGGCACAGTCTCTGCAGGCTCTGCGCAGAAGCAGCCAGGGTAGAGACCTTGTCCAAAGCACTCCTCTCTTGAAAACCCTTCTAAGACCCCATCAGGATATAGAACACAGCCCAGAGGGCACTTGGTCACTCACCTCCCTCCACACCAGCACCCCCAACTCGCTCCAGCCCAAATCCCTTCTAGCACAGAGGCCATTTCCCACACCACCCCTCTGCTCTTTACTGAGAATGCCACCTCTGGGGTACACAGCTTGCACACCTTGCTCTGGTGTCCCCCTTCTGTGAAGCCTTCCCCGACCTTCACTCCAGACCCCATGGTAAAAATGGCCACAAAGTGGCCAAGTGCCCTCCATGTGCCTGGCATTGAGTTGTCACCAGCTGCATAAGCTGAAACTGGTAGTATCACCTCTTTTTCAGATAAGAAACCAAGGCCCACAGAGGTGGACAGCCTGCCTGCAGGGAGGCTTCCTGCTTCTCCAGCACCCAGCCCTCCCCAACCTGGGTGTCCATCTCCCCAGACCAGAGCTCCCTTGGAAGCAAAGGAAGCACCCACTTATTAGCACCTCCTGTGCACAGTAGCTTGTTTTGAACTGTGGCTGGTGGGGCTGGACTCCCAGTGCCAGGAGGAGGTTGGGTCCCTAGCTGATGACTACAAGGTGGGATGACATTATCACTAGCAGGAGTGAAAACAGGCTCAGAAGAGGGATTTACACAAAGCCACACATCAAACAAGGGAAACCCAGCTCCCCAGTGGGTCTCAGGGATCCTGGGGTGGCCCACCCCTATTGCAGGTGCCTCTCAATCACAGAGGGCACTGAAGGCCAGGGAATGAGGAATGCCCATGTTACCCTGCCCTGGGGATTCCTGGAGCCCAAAGGCCAAGCCCTCAAAAAGCCCGGTGAGTGATACCTGCGGCAACCTGCTCCCCCCAGGAGAGGGGACAGGGCTGCCTCAGCCATAGTTGGGGGACAGCTGGTATGGTTCAGCAGAGGGGTCAGAAAGAAGGTCTGATCCCATCCCACCCACTCTCAGGCTGGGCCACCACTCCCTCCTGCCCTGCTGCAGGACCCCTAGCCCAGGCTCTGGTGCTCACCGGGCCAGCACCTGCTGCTGGTCCACCCCAGGCAGCAGCTCCTCTGTCGGCACGGCAACACCCACACCCACACTCTCCCTTCTTGCACTTGCTGTGGCCAGCAGGGGCTGAGGCTGGGCCGCCAGGGCCATCTGGGGCTCAGCTTCCATCCATGTATCTGGCTCTGCTGCGGACACCTCTGCCACTTCCAGGGCCAGATGTACCTCCTGAACACGGAGAGAAATCCAAATGAGGTGGCAAGGCCACCCCTGGAGATGAACTCACAGATGGCCTCAGTCCCAGAAGGGGACAGTCCACCCACCAAGGTCTGGCACAGATCATCTCTGGTTTGGAGATACAGGTTGAACACTCCCAATCCAAAAATCTTAAATCCAAAATTCTCTGAAATCTGAACATTTTTGACCTTCATGGCAGTCAATTTTGGGTATCAGAACATTCTGGATTTTGGCGTCCAGATATGGGATACTCACATGTTAAAATCCATGCAAATATTCCAAAACCTGAAAAACTCCAAAATCTGAAACGCTGGTCCCAAGCATTTCTAATTAGGGATACTCAACCTGTACCTAGTCAGTAAAAAAAATTGTAGCCAAACAAATTCTTGCTGCCACCAACAGCCCAAAAATGGTCCCCCACCTTCCTGTCCTGCCCTCCATGGCCCAGTTTCCACGTGGCAGCCAGGACAATTTTCATGAAATATAAACCAATCACAGCATCCCTTTCCTGATTTCAAACCTTCATGACTTCCCATAGAATTAACCCCAGGAAAATCCAGCCTCCTCCATGGCCTCTGCACCTGCTCCCTACCTCCCCCAGCTTTTTCCTGCCACCACCCCATGTACGCTGCTGGCCTCTCTTTTTGTTGCTGAGAAATTCAAAAACCTTTCCAGCCACAGGACCTGCTGCTCTTCCTGGCCTTTCCTTCTTGTCTGGGTCCCACCTCCATGCCACCTTCTAGCCAGGGTTTCTCAGCCACTCTCCTTACATCTACTGTGAGCCTTCGCTATGTAGCCCACCAGGGGTCTTCATTCTCCCTAAGTGTGGGGAGATTTAAGGCTTCCTCTCACAGCCTCAGGCCTACCCTACTGTCTTCAGCAAAAGAGAAAGGGTGGGATCTGAGAGCAGCAGGGTCCAAACCAGGTCTGCAGCCCTCATCCTCTGCATACCCTGGGCCCCCGCTCCTTCAGATGAAGGGCTCCAAGGGTAGGAAGGTCTGAAAGTCACTGTCCAAAATAACAGGATTCTGCATCAGTTAAAAGCAATGTTGTGAGCTCCTCTGATCTGAACATCACTTGGATGTGGCCATTTGCTACAAGCCTGGGGTATCCAGGATTGTTTTCCCTGTCTCATGAATAGGGAAACTGAGGCCCAAGGAGGGAAGGGACAAACTGGATTCACAGGAAGACAGACAGAGCCAGGCCAGGGAAGTACTCACAATGGGGAGTGGGAGGTTGGTGGCCACCTCAGCTTCAGACCTGGTGTCACTGGGCTCCAACAGGTCTGTCGGAGAGGTGTGCTTGGGGAGAACAGGTAGGGAGGAAGATTGGTCCGGAACCCTCCTCTCTTCCCCTACCGTCCTGACCTCCACACAACTCCCCAGGGTGTCACCACCCACAGCCCCCTTCACCTGTCGCTGCTGAGAGAAGGGCCCAGAAGGGTTGAGGAGACAAGGGGACACACGGGCACATGCCAGCACCTGTGGTGTCCAGGGGTGCATCCGCCTTATCTCATGTGAAGTATACACTAGCACCGCATTTTCTAGCAGAGGAAACTGAGGCCCAGAGAGGCCAATGCCCAAGGTCACACAACAGATAAGAGCTGGATTTCAAAGGCCTGTGCTCTTTTTCTTTTTGGTACCAGGGATCGAACTCAGGACTTTCCACTTGCGAGGCAGGCGGCAGAACCACTGAGCTAAATCCCCACCCCTCCAAAAGCCTGTGCTCTTACACACATGCACGCACACGCATACATACACACACACACACACACACACACACACACACACACACACACTCATGGGAAAGGAAAGCAGAGAATAAAATGGGGAAAAAGAAGAACATTTCTTGGGCCAGGGATTTAGCGCATTGGCACCTCGCCTGCCTGGCAAATGCAAGGTCCTGAGTTTGATCCCTGGTACCAAAAAACAAACAAACAAAAAAACATAAAAAGAGGTTTAAGAAGGAAATAGGTGTTGGAAGTGGACAGGGAGGGGAGGGGCAGCAGCTTGAGGGTCTCCAAGAAACCTCCCACCCGGTGCCCAGACCCTGTGAGCATCTGAATGAGGACTCGGCCCTTCCCTGCTCTGCTCTCGCCGTGGTCACCTGCAGATTCCCCAGGCAGGCACCCTCAGTCAGTGCACAGGTGACTGCCTGGTGTCGCTGTGTGTCTCCATCCCAACTTCCCCACTGGCTTATGGATCCTCAGACAGAGTGCTCCTTCCCAGACCCCAGGACACCAGTGCCCCTGAGCTAGACATCAAGGCCAGGGCCACAGCAGAAGTGGTGAAGGCACAGAGGAACAGCAGGGCAGAAGTCCCTCGTGTGCACAATACCTCCTAGCCAGCTCTGCCTGCTGGACTTTTGCATTACTTCATGTATGACATCAGCTACCTTCATGGGGACCTGCGGCACATCTGTCCTGGCCACCATGGAGGAGAGTCTGGCCAGCTTGGCTTCCACCTCAGCAAATGGGTCCCGCAGGCTCAGTCCCATCTTCGGGGGCACCAGTGGCTGCTCCTCCACCTGGATGTAGTTCTCACCCTCCAGCCGGGTCTCAGAGTCCTCCTGGCCAGGGTCTTCATTCAGGAAGTACTTGCTCTGGGAACGCACCTCAGGCCCACAGAGCTCCAGGTTGGAAAGCTCCTCAGGCCCAGGGAGGGCCTCAGACATGGAGGATTCTTCCAGCATGGAGGACTCACTGGACCTGAGAGAAATCTCAGACTTGGAGGGCTCTGCCCTGCGAAGCTCCTCAAATCTGGGGGAAATCTGGGTGTTGGAGACCTCATCCCTGGGCAGGGGATCAGGTATGGAGAAGATAGAAGGCTTCACGGCTGCCTCGAACTGGAAGGCAGGTACATGCTCAGACATGTTGGCAAACTCAGCCCTGGACATGACCTCGGCATTGTGGAGGACTTCTGCTTTCAGAACGGTCTCTGCAAAAGGAGGATTCCTGAGCTTCTTAAGCATAAGAGTGAGAAGACTCCCCAGCCAAGAGTCAAAGCCTCCCAGCACCCCTAGAGTACAGCCCCAGTGCCATCCATCCCTGCCCCATCGAAACGCAAACCCTGCCTTCACTCCCAGGAAGTTTCCTCTGATCAGCAGATGATCTCTGCAGTCTGATCTCCCCAGCCACTATATCCCAGGATCTGGGCATCCTGCTCTGGGACTGCTCTTCCATTCAGCAGGCTGCCCACGGGTCTTACAGCCTTCACAGACAGACCCCAGGTCCCCTGCTGGAGCGCCAGACTCAGGGCTCATGGCCACAGAACATGCTAGAAGCCTGCCCATTAAATAAACGTGTGGATGCATCTTAGAGCTACATAGACCAAATACAGTTCACCAGGAGGCCTGATACTCAACCTGGCGGAGCTACTCTGAGGGGAGGACGGAAAATGCCAGAAGCTGCCCTCTCCTCTTCTGGGCTTCGCTCACGCAGGTCCCAGGGCTCCTGGTCAGGGGCTTCAGCCACCCTTCTGCATCCCATCCATTTCTTTGTCACCTGTGTCCCAGCTCCCCTCTGCTGAAACATGGGCTGCACTTCCTGGGAAGTGGCCTCAACCTCTCCCAGCCTCAGTTTCCATACCTGTTAAGTGAGGGTTCAGGGACCCCCACCTATCTGGATAGGGAATGCTGGAGGAGGGCCTGCCCAGCACACAGCAGGGTCCACACAGGGTCCCAACACTGCTCGGCATTGTCATCACTGCAAGAGCAGATGTGCCAGCACTGTGGGGACCAGAACCCAGCGCACAGCTGTTTGGATAATACATCCTAGACCTAGACCATCAAAAAGGCAGCAGCTGCCAGGCATGGTGGTGCACACCTACCATGCCAGCACTTGAGAGGCTGAAGCAGGAGGATCACCACAAGTTTGAGGCCAGCCTGGGATGCATAGGAGTTCAAGGCCAGCCTGAACTACATAATAGGGCTACATAGAGTTCAAGGCCAACCTGAACTACATAGTGAGACCCTGGCTCAAAACAAACAAACACAAACAAAAAAGTTACCAGCTGCTTCCACACATTCTTTTTTTTACAAACATTCTTGCTAATGAGTGCATACACATGGGATGTGGATGCTCTGGTACTGACAGGCTCAGAAGTGAGAGAAGATTCCAGGCAACAAAGAAACTTGCGGCAGGGACCTTCCCCTCAACCAGGGTGACATGTGTCACACTTCCGAGTCAGCCTGGAGTGGCTGAACATGGAGCCAAGCCCCAGGATGCAGTGTTTCGTACAAGAGCTCTGCCTCTGGGGCCAGAGTGCATGGGTTCAAATCACCTGGCTCTACCTCCCCAGGTGAGCCACCATGGGCAACTACTCACGTCTCTGCGCCAGGGTCTCCTGACCTAGGAAAGCAGGGTGACAGTGGTGCCCCTCTCCCTGCTCTGAGGGGTGAACAGGACTGGCCTGGTGTACACAGCAGCTGGGTAGCACCCACCTGTCCCCTTCCGCAGGTTCTCCTGCAGCATGGACAGCTGCACGTCATACGAGTTGCGCATGGCAGTGATGTCCTCCTCCAGCCTGGCTCGGGACTCCTGCTCCACCTCGTAGTCAGCCTTCAGTTGGGCCAGGCGCTCCTCGTACTCCTGGATGGGCAAGAGACATGGTCAGTGCTACTCAGCTCCCAGTGCTCCTTTTTGGTCACTCAGCCGATTTGGAAAATCCAAGTGAGTCAAAACAAAGAAACTAAGATCCCCAGGCCACACAGCCGTGACCACTCACTGTTCAGAGCCCTTCTCTATGCAGCTTTTTGGTTTGGTTTCATTTGGATTTGCAGTACTAGGGGTGGAACCTATGTGCACTCTGGCATTCTACTGCTGAGCCACAATCCCAGACCTGTTTTTATTTTTTATTTTGAGACAGGGTCCCACTAAGTCGCCCAGGCTGAGCTCAAACTTGCATCCTACTGCTCAGCCTCCCAGAGTGCTGGAATCACAGGCGTGCAGCACTGTGACCAGCTTCTTTATGCATTTTTGTTTGTTTGTTTGTTTTTTGGTACCGGGGATCAAACTCGGGTCCTTGTGCTTTCGAGGCAGGCAGCAGAACCACTGAGCTAAATCCCCAGCTCCCTGTGAGTTTGTAATGGACTAATGAGAATGCATTTATTTGCAATCTAGTTTCTCCACCTAACACTACGTCATAAACGTCTTTGTCAAATGCATTGACTGATGCATTTTTCTCTAGTGCTCCTCAACCTGTCAATGACAAAACAATTTTATCCATCAGCTTTGCTCTCCATCTTTGCTGTCACCACTGGCTTGTGTCCCACCAACCTCTCACCCAGCCCCATGACCACACTTGTTCCTGCCCCAAACTGTTGCCCACACAGCCACCACACACCCCATCACACCAAGTTTCCACACTGCTTCTGTTCTGTCAGTGGCTCATGGATAAAATCTAAGCTCCTCCACTTGACCTGACCCGACCTAGTCCCCCTACAAGATGTTGGCCTGCTGCCCTGTAGCCATCTCCTCCCCTTTTTTGTTTCTGGTGCTGGGGAAGGAAGCCCCACGTGCTGGGAAAGTGCTGTACCACTGAGCTTCGCCCTAGCCCAGACCTCTCTGTGTCTTTGCCACACTTGGGGGCACTGATTATTTGCTGCTCCCAGACTCACCCACTTCCTCCCTGCCCAGGGCAGCTTGGCTCCCTGGCAAGTTCCTCCCACCCAAGAGGAGTCTTCCCCAATGGCCTCTGCTGCTCTGCCACTTCACCTTCTCCTCAGCTCCCATTCTTCTCTGTACCTGGTGCCAGACACACTGCCATCGCGCTCCAGATCGGGCACTCTGAGAGTGGGTGTCAACGTGTCCACAAGCACTGAGCTTCCTGCTAAGACCTGCAGCATCCTGGGCCCCAGGCAGCTTCACTGACGAGGCAGCTCCCCGGGCCCACCAGCTCATTCCCACCTGCTATCTCACCACCTTCATCCTCACTTTCTTCCTCACTCAGCTGAGAACTGGCCCCAGTGCTGTTCCCACTCCTCAGCAAGTGGTGCATCCTTGGCCCTGAACCCACACCACTCCCTACCAGCACAGCCCTGCCCAGTGATACCTCAGTGACACCCAGGCCTCAGCCCTACCCCCCCTGCACTCTAGCAAAACCTAGCACATGCACCATGAGCACACACATGCACACACCCATGTCCAAGAGCACACGCAGCATCCCTGCCTTCACTTCCTTTCTGTGCTGAGCTCACCTCCCAGTCCTCACCCTCCTCACCCCCCATGTCACCTCCTTCTTCCTCGAAGAGAACACAGAAGCAGCGGGGCACTGCCAACGACCCACTACAGGCTGCTAGACCCCCCTCCTGTGTGGTAGGCATGAACCACCTGCGGCTGGGCTACCCCACTGAGAGCCCTTTACAAGTTCATCGTATACCCTGGTACCTCTCTCCGTCTTAGAGCAAACAGTCTACACGCCATGTCCATCCCTTCCAGTGTCAAAGCAATAACCCCCCCCACCACTGCTATGTTCCCGGCTGCTGTATTGCCAGCAGGTGTTCAAACTTTCGTGTTAAGGGCTGAATGGTGTGTGTGGGAGGGATCACAGAACAACCTCTGCTTTTAGCCCCTGCCCCCAAAGACAAGATGGCCCTGGGTTTCACCTTTGTCCAGTCTGTGAGCAGCAGGAAAGCTGCCAGGGCACATATTGTACAAATGGGGAGCAGAGGCCCAGAGAACTCGAATGACCCACTGGAGGCCACACAGCCCGACTGAACTGGGCTGGTAGAACAGTGAAGCTGGAGGGACACTGAGGACTCTTGGTCCAAATCTCCCACTACAGACTGGAGACTGGAGCCGTGCTGTTGGCTCGCAGCTGAGCCCTCTCTACTGCACTGTTCTGGAAAGGGAAGGAGCACACAGCCCAGGCACACAGCAGGTGCTCAGCAACATGACCGTGGCGAGAGCGAGCAGAGGGAGAGAGACAGACACCGCAACTCTCCCTCCAAGCAGAAATCCCACGGTCAGCAAGGGAATCTCAGGGTGATGGGGCTGGGCTGAGCACACTGATGGGCACCAGGGTCCCCGGTGCAGAAGGACCCTCCCATCCAGCGCCTCACAACCAGCTGCCGGAGCAGTGTTGCCCTGTGACCACCAGGGGACAGTGGTACCCTGCTCACTGCACAGCCAGGAGTCTGCCACCCAACTGCGCTTCTCTGTGGACCACGCCTGCATCCCAGCTTGGGTCCAGCCCTCCATGCCCCTCCTGATGTGTGACCAAAGTCCCCCATCGTGATGTGATTCTGTGTCCACTCTAAGCCCTGTCGGCGTGACTTCTCTGGTTTCTGTGGGCTTGGGCTCAGTCATCCCCATAGGCCCCTTCCTTGCTGCCACCACCCCAGGGAACAGGCCCAGGGCTCCAGAGATGGTCCTGACACCGGGCCCCTGCCCTAGATCCTCAGGTGAAAAGACAAGTAAGCAGCTGAGGCCCGCCGCCCCGCCCAGGCCTTACAGGTCTGTCCCCAGATAGGCCCCCAGGCCTCACAGCCTGACAGGGGCACCCAGGGCTGACCCCTACCAAGGTCACAGTGGAGTGGCAGGGACAGCTGCAGCACAGCCAGGCTGCAGCCCTTGCTGAGCTCCCCCGATGTCTCATCAGACTCAGCTCCCTACAGGGACCAGCAAAGGGCAAGGTCCCCACAGGCTCAGGTCTCAGGACGTAGCCATCACACAGCAGAGCTCTGGAGACCATGAGCCCAGAGTGGGACGGAGACCAGGCTGGGAGCTCAGAGGCCTTGCCATGCCTGCCTGTGCAAGTCCCTTGTGTGAGCCAGCTCCGAATCCGATTACTGTACTCCCTCCCTTGAAGGTCCCTGGCAAGCTGGGAAGACCCAGGTCCCCTCAGTGACAGCCTTTCCAGGAGTCAGCACCGCACTCCTCATGGTCACAGGGCCATCCTGCTCTCACCCAGGACTGGACAGCTGCACAGGGGCAGACCCCTCTAGCCTAACCACCTTGCCTTTGCCCAGGCTGTTCCCACAGCCAGCAACGTCCTCTCCATTTCCATACAGCCTGGGTTCAAATCCTGACTCAGAGTCTCCTTACAGCATGCCTTAGCAAGTTGTGCCATTTCTCTGTGTGTGTGTGTGTGTGTGTGTGTGTGTGAGAGAGAGAGAGAGAGAGAGAGAGAGAGAGAGAGAGAGAGAGAGACTGGGGACTGAACCTAGGGCCTTTGCACTGAACTACGTTCTCAGCTCTTTTTGTTTTTTATTTTAAGACAGTGTCTTGCTAAGTTGCTTAGTTACTCAGGCTGGGCTCAAAGTAGGAATCCTCCTGTCTTGGCCTCCCAAAGTGCTGGGATTACAGGCGGGCACCACCACATCTGCCATAGCATCTCTTTTGACCTCCAGCTTTCTCAGCTGCAAAATGGGGACTCTGGCGCCAACAAGATGGGGATGGTGAAGGCAGAACCCTTCAGCTGTGGGCTGCTGCTGCTGCTGGGCTGAGATGCAGGCACCCACCCACCCACCTGCCAGCCCTGTTCTTCCATCTGCTCAGATCTTACCTCCCGGATCAGCTGCTTCTCAGCCTCCATGTCCTGCGGGACCACAGGGCTGGACAACAGCTTCTCCTCAACCTGGGCAGGGCTCAGGGGCAGCTGGCCGCACAGCAGGGCTGAAGGAGAAACAGAAGATGAGGAGCTGAAAACAAGGTGCACACAGTTTGCAGGAACTGAACAGAAACCTTTGAAAGATAACTCCATGGTCATTTGGGAAAGACGAGTCTCTGTGTAAGATGCTGAGTCAATCAGTCACTCAACACATCTGTACAGACCACCCAGATGTTAGGGACAGTGGGGCTGCAGCATTGACCCAAACATGTGACAAGAGGAAGAGGAAGCTGTAGAGGCTGCTCAGAAGGAAGAACCACAGGAAGGTTGCACTTTAACATTGTGATCAGACAAGACCTTTAGTGGGGAGAGATGACAGCAGGCATCAGGAGGAGGGAAGGACAGAGGCAGGCCAAGAGCGTTCCAGACAGATGGGAGTCATGGGTGCAAAGGGCCTGGGACAGGCATGGGCCTGTACTGGTGCAGTAAGTGAAGCAGAGGTTGGAGATGAATGAGGCCAGCTCCTGGGGACATAGAGGATACTATGAGGCCTTCGGGCTTTGATCTAGGCTAAATGGCACCCTGGAGGTGTTCAGTGCAGTGAAGGGATTGTAGCTCAGTAGGCTCTCCCTGATGCTGTGCAGAAGACAGGGAGACCTTTGGCTGGGAGACCTGCTGGGGGCTGTGCTGTGACTCAGGGAAGAAACCAGTCTCAGGCCAGAGGGTGGCCTTGAGGCTTCGAGAGATTCTAGATGGAGACCACAGGATCTGAGGACAGCCTACAGGGGGACTGGAGAGAAGCAAGAAGCCCAGGGTGACCCAAGGTTTCTGCTTGGAGACCTGGAGGACTAAGTTGCTATCAGCTGGGTGGGGATAGCTGCAGATTTGCAGATGTGGGGTACAGCAGGGCTCCGTGTGGGACAGGCTGGTGTGAAATGCTTATCTGATGGCAGCAAAGTCAAGTCTGGGATTCAGAGAACACAGTGTATTACATTACCCTAAAGTTTTCTCTATTTTCCAATGTCTGACATCTTGGGGGGACCCGCTGGCCAGGGGTGACTGCTCTCCCAGCGCTGGCCAATTTCTGAGACAGCACGCAACACGCCAGCCAATGGATCCTGGGCCCACAGCCAACACGTCCTTTAACCCACATGCACAGCTGGTGGGTGTTTCCATGTCCTCTACACACCTGAAGCCTGGTACCAGACAACTAAGCCCCTGGTCCCTAGAGGCCGAGAAAAGTACTCAGGGTGGCCAGGCCTAAGCTGCACCTCTGCCCAGCAGTGCTGGGAGTCAGGAAGGAGAGGACTCCTGCGGGGGGCACAGGAGAAAAGGGGTGCAGAGCTGTAGGGGAGCAGGGTCCAGAAGCACAGGAAGGCGGCCTCCTGCAGGGCAGGGCAGTGGGGGTGAGCTGGCAGCAGGCCGCCTGGTGTGGGGCTGAAAGAGCACAAAGGAGACCCAGGGCCAGCACAGGCAGACAAAGGTTCCTGTTCTGCTACACAGGGAAGAGCAAGAAATCTGCTGGGGGGGGGGGGTGCTGAGAGGCTCACTCGTGACAGCAAGCACTGGGCATTGGGGGAACCCATGGAGCCGGATTCCACCCCTGGTCAGGGCAGTGCATGTGGCTCTATTCTAAACTTCAGTCACTCAGGCAACCCTCCCGCTGCTCACAGGTCATGGTACAGGAGATGGTGGCTCAGGGCTGAGTCATTTGTCCCTAGGATCATGAGGGGAGGTGGCTCCTAGCCTGTTGGGTCTCAGCTGTCTACCCAGGGCCACTGGGTCACTGGTCACTGGTCACTGCCCAGCACGTGGCTGCAGACCCAGGAGTGACCTCAACCTGGTAGACACCAGGCTACTGCTGGAAGATGGCACAGATGTTGGCTACAGGGTAGGACCCACTGTGAAGCCTCCCTTGCCCTTCCTGGTACCTCTTCCCATCCCTGTCTGTCTCCTCCTCACTGACCTTGGGGTGAGCAGGGCCAGGGTGGGGGGTCAAGGAAGGGAGCTTGGCAGAGCCTGGGTTTGTCTGTCCACTTGTCCTCCACCCTCGTCACAGTGCTCAAGGCTGTCCGCTCCAGCCCCAGCCACCCCTCATCGTCCAGTGGTGGTGTTGCAGCTCCCTGACCCCAGCACAGAGTCTGCACAGCTCTGCACAAATGCCACTCTCACCCTTAGGCAGAAACCTCCTGGCCTCAAGATGGCTCAGTCACAGCTCCTCTGTGCAGACTTCTCAACCGGCCACACCCTCCCTCTGCCCTAGGGTCTGTTTCCCTGCAGGTGCGGGTCTGCTGGCCTGTCCTTCTCCCCCAGGAGATCAGGTGCCTCATGAGGCAGGGCCTGGGTCTGAGTCATCTCTATGTCCCCAGCACCGAGTGTCCAGCACAGGTCCACACACACAGGAGGAGCTCGGGGATCTTTGGGAGGACAGGCAGGTGGCTGAGTGGACAGACAGGCAGAGACTGGATGTCAGGATGGAGACAATGAGAGAGTGGTATATGGAGGGTAGGGTGGGTGAGGGGGTAGTTGGAATGTGTGGGTGGACAGCAGGTTAAATGGAAGGATGACAGGAGGAAGGGAAGAAGGGGGAAAGAAGGAAGAAGAGAAGGGTGGGTGGATAGGTGGATGAATGAAGAGGGTGGAAGGCAGGCAGATGAAAGGGCAGAAGATGGGGTGGGGAGCTGGGCCATGAGTGGGTGAACATGGATGGGAGCCATGTAGGATGGATGGGTAGAAGCAGGTGGGCAGGAGAGCAAACCCAGGCTCTGTTTCCCATCCCTGAGAGACTGAGGTGCAGAACACCCCAGATAGAGTCCAGCAAGCCAAGGGCCCTGCATGCCTGTTCCGGTGAGGACTTCTACCTGCCAGGTGACAGCCAAGTGCCTGGGAGTGAGAGCCATGACAAGACGGTGCCTAATGAGAGGGGGCGGGCCATGGGGCATGAGTCACCAGGCTGCCAGATCACGACGCTGTCAGAGACAGCAGGCAGGTGGGGATGAAGGATGAGCAGCTGAGGAGGGGAGTGGGTGCTGAGCATGAGGCTGATGGGACCTGCCAGACACACTGGCCTCTGCCTGGGGCCACGGGCAGGAAGATGACAGGCTCCGAGCCCCCTGAGTGTGCAGAGGACTTGCCCGCGGCTCCCAGGGAAAGAAGGAGGGGTGCCCTCCCCGCCACCCCTGCCGTGGCACCTGACAGGCCACCGGGACTGAGCTGCTGTGCCAGGATGGCCCGGAGCTTCTTAATCTCCTCTTGGTACTGGCGCAGGAGGGCGTCCTTGGGGTCCTCGTTGATGCGAGGCTTGTTCTTGATGTTCTTGGCTCGGTTGGCATAGCGCAGCGTGCTGAGAGTCTCGTCATAATTGTTGTCGGCGGGGGACAGGCAGGCCACCATCAGGGTCTTGGTGTTGCCGCCCAGGGAGTCCTGCAGTAGCCGTGTCAGCTTGGAGTCCCGGTAGGGGATGTGCCTGCAGCGCCCATCCACCAGGGCAGAGATGACGTTGCCCAGTGCCGACAGGGACAGATTGATCTTGGTGGCCTCCTTGAGCCGCTCCCCAGAGACCCCTGTCTTGGACTGCCGTTCGCTGCCCGCCAGGTCCACCAGGTTCAGCTTGCCAGCTCGGAGGTGGTCCTCACCCTGCTCATCTGTAGACAACCGGGAAGGGCATGAGGGCCTTGGGGTGAGCCCCACAGGGAAGAGGGAGTCACTGTTGGGCCCTGGGTTGCCCCAACCTGCTGAGGGTTCAAGCTGGCTGAATAGGAGCCCCAAGAAGGAGGTGCTACTATTGTGCCCAGTTTATAGATGAGGAAACTGAGGCTCACACAGGGCATGTAACTTGCCCAAGGTCACACAGCTGCCAAGAGGTAGAGCTAAGATCAGAACCTAGGGCAGTCTGACTCCAGGGACCAGGGGCTGGGCGTCACAGACTGTTCTTGGAAGACAACAGGAGTCCTTCCGGCCACCATAACAGTTTCTACAGACTTCCTGTGAGACCAAGGGCAGACAAAGAGAGAGGAAGGAAGCTGGATCGCTAGGGAGCTATGTCCTTTCGTGCACAAAGCATCGACTTTGGAGACACGTGGACCTGGTTCACAAGAAGTCCTGCCTCCTCTTCTCTGTGTGACATTAGAAGGACCATGCACCTCTCTGATTCCTACGAAGTGAGACTAGCAAGGCTGCCCACCTGGGCAGAGCCTGGATGTCCCAGGTGATGGAGACCTGGGCACTGGATGGGAGCGCGGGCCTCGGAACAGGCCCATTCCAAGACCACCCTCAGAGGCCATGCAACTCGGGGAGTGATTTCACCCATGGCCCTGAGCCTGGCCCTTCTCCCGGTGAGCTGCCTCCATTCGTCTCCCGCTGGCAGAAACCAGAAGTGGCCCGAATTATGTTCAAGGGTGCAGCAACCAGAATAGGGAAGAAAGACTGGCTGTTAGAGATGGACACGAGAGGAGTTTGGCTCTGCATGCTTTAAAAGAACAAAACAGATGCCTGCCTTGCAAGCGAAAAGTCCCAAGTTCAAGCCCCGGTACCAAAAAAACCAGGAAGGAAGTTGGGACCAGTCTTGGAAAGCTATTTGCAGAATGATCAATGAGCTGGGCATGGTGGTGCACAGACCAGTAATCCCAGGACTCTGGGAGGCTGAGGCAGGAGGATTGCTTCGTGAGGCTGTCTCAAAAATAAAACATAAAAAAGGGCTGAGGATGAAGCTTAGTGCAAAGGCCTTGGGTTCAATCCCCAGTACCAGATGCCTTAAACATGTTTGTACCCTTTGTGCCCAGGAGTCCAGTCCAAGGAATCTAACCCGAGGAAAGGACTCTCCAAGCAGAAAAATTTTGTCTACAAAGATGTTCATCACAGTATTATTTATAGCACTGAAAAACTGGAAACAACTTTGACTGCTTATCAAGCACTGGTTAAAACGGGCATGGGCAACAGACTCACTCCTGGCCACCACACAGCCATGAAGACATGGAGCTGATAATGTGGGCAAGTGCTCAGTGGTTGCCTGGGATATAAAACTCAAGGGAAGAACAACTTAGAGTCTAATATTTCAATTGTGTTTCAAATTTTCATAAGGAAAAAAGGATCAAAAGAAAGTATGCTTAAATGTATTAGTAGCTGTTTAGGTATCAGCCCCACCTTCAAGGCCCCTGCAAAACTCAAGTCACCCCCCCAATCCTCTCTCTCCTCCTCCCCCAGCCCATCCAGCTACCCAAGTCCCTGCCCCTCGGCAGCAGTGTCCCAGGAGGCTCTCACCGTACTGATCCTGTCCTCCCTGGGGACACAGGATGCTCTTGATTCAGTCAGCACAAGGACATTGGTCTGGGGCCAGTCACCAGCAGATGGGGCCACCCCGTCCCCGAGCCAGAGTTCTCTCAGGAATGATGCTCCCTGCTCTTTAGAGTTCTACTCAGATGAACTATAAACTTGGAGGCAGCTGCAGTCTTAGTGGGAAAACCAAATCACCTGGGAGACCTGGGTTTGAATCCCAACTCTAACTTAGCAGTTGTGAGACCTTGAAGAGGCAAATCACTTCCCCTCTCAGAGCCTCCATTTCCTCACCTGTAAAATGGAAATCACAGAACCCACTTCTAGGTGAGTTTACACAGAATGAGGTTCGGAAAGTGCTTAGCACTGCATCTGGCCTATGAGTGCCCAAAATAAATGTCTTTCCTGCCTCTTCTCTTTCTCAGCAGCTTTTCCCAGAAGAAGGAAGAAGCAGATGACTGAGTAGAGAACATTACCGAGACAGGAGTCAAAAGTTCTGAGTGAGTCACACCCTAGGGGCAGACTGCTGGGACAGAAGCCCAGCTCTGACACTTCAGTCATGAGACCCCAATTTTCTCATCTGCACAATGGGGATGATATTATCTACTAGCTCCTGGGCGGAACAAATGAGATATGTGCATATATTGTGTGGCCCCTGCTAAGTGCTCAGAGCTGTTGTTGTTTATCCAGGAAGCACAGGGCCCGGCCTAGGGAGGACCCTCACCCGGCTTGCCCAGGTGCCGGGGCATCGCTCCTTAGTTTCTCACAGGGCTGTGGGGCTCAGAGGCACAGGGCCTTGGCTAGCAGGGGCGGACCCAGCATGGCTTCTCAGGCTGCCCTCCAGCCGGCATACCCACGGCGTAGATCTCGATGCTGATGGTGAAGATGGAGTGGGAGCGTGAGGAGTCCTTGTTCATCAGAGTGTAGCCCACTGCTCGGTTTTTCCAGCCGGTCTCCATGATGCGCTCACACTGGGCCACACTGTGCACCATGTGCATGGACAGCCCCTTCACGTGCACACCTTTCTCGGGGTGCTCCTTCAGCTGTGGGGAAGGGGTGTGATTGGGGCAGGGCTTCCTATGTCTGAGGGGGCAGGTTCAGGGATTCCCCAAGGATCCAGAGCAAAGAGCCCAACTGGGACCACCCCCAAACTCCTACAGTGCAGGTGGGCACCTCAAATGCCCTGTAACAGCTAGGGGTTCATTCCAGACGCAGCCAGCCACAAACCTACACCTGCTTACTCCTTGTGGGACTTTGGGTAGGTGACTTAACCTGAGCCTCAGTTGCCACATCTGTAAAATGGGTGTGCAATGCCTATCTCATAGGGAATATGGTGAGGATTCAGTAAAATCCATGTGCACACATGGGTGGGGGATTTAGCTCAGTGGTGCCGCCACTTGCCTTCCAAGCAGAAGGTTCCAAGTTTGATTCCCAGCACCAAAAAACAAAAACAAAAAATCAGGCACACAACAGCGTGGTGCTTGGCAGGTGAAATGTGCCCCATATTGTGCTGTCACTGTTTGTACTGTGACTGAGAAGGTGGTTGCAGTCTGGGGGCTCCATAAGCTCCCTGGGGCTGACCCTACAGTCACTGATGGCTCTGAATGCTGTCTCCTTCATCCTGCCATAGTTTCTGATTGCCTCTCCGCTGTCCCCCAGGGCAACAGGTCTGTTCCTGAACCCTGGACCATGGAAGGTGAAGGGCTACTGGCTGCCCAGAGCTCACGCCTGGACTAGGCCCACCCCCAGTGCAATGGCAGCAATAAATTAACATTTTCAAGAGGTCCTTGCTTGCTTTCCAGGCATCTGAGCTGTGTTGTTCCTGACACAGAGCTGTGAAACAGTATTTTTCAAGTGGGAGAGGATATAAGCAAGAGTGGAATGAGTTAGGACAGCAGGCATTTGTCTGCCGAATGGCCCTGCTGGTTGGAGCGCCAGAAGTCTTGGATGGTTGCTGTGGGCAGCTCCAGGGGTCCCAGGAACACCCCCACCCCCACTCCCATCCCCGCAGGGGAAAGCACAGGCTGGCCCTGTCTGCTCAGGTGTGAAGTGCAGAGACAGCCAGGCCCAGCCTGGGTTGGGCTCAGAGGAACAGAGGAGCAATCGAGGCTCAGAAAGGTTAAGCGACTTGCTGAAGGCCACACAGCTCTGAGTGAGGTCACAGGTAATGGAGACCTTCAGAGACAGGGTAAAGAGAGGCAGTGGGGCACCCTGTAGGAGCTGCAGGCTGATGGGACAGAAGGCTGATCTTTTGTCTGTTTGCCATAGGAGGACTGAACTCAGAGCCTTCATACTGAGGCCAGCCCTTGATTTTGTTTGTTTACTTTTTGGTACCGGGGATTGAACTTGGGACCTTTCGTTTGGAAGGCAGGCACTGGAACCACTGAGCTAAATCCCCGGCCCCGGCCCTTGAGACAGAATCATTAAGTCACTAAGTTGCCTAGGCTGGCCTCGAACTTTCGATTCTTCTGCTTCAGCCTCCCAGAGGGCTGAAAAAGGGCTGACGTAGACACAGGAAGTGGCAGTGAGGATGAACATAAAGGACAGAAGCAGGAGCCCCTGCAAACAAAGCTGGCTGGACTGGGGTTCTGGGGCTGTGCCTTGCGCCTCTCTGGATCCTGCCAGAGCCCAGGGCCCCATCCTGGGCTGGGGAGCAGCTTCGGGCTTCAGAAAGAACTACTGACCCTGTTTCCCATCAATCCTACAAGCTTGGGCAGAAACCCAGTCAGTCGCTTGCTGATCAATTTGAAATGAGGATGAGGAAGTTGCTTCTTTGAGACTGTTACAAGGATCCCGAAGGAAATGGATCTGTAAGGTGTGCTGTAGGTACTTATTAAGGTTCAGGGTCATAAAGAGGCTCAGGCCAAAGCAACCTCAGCAGACAACCTCTCTCCAAAGAGGTCTCTATTTTCAACCCTGGGAAGACTCGCCCCCCACACCTCATGATGTCCCCAGGGGTCCCCTCCGCACTGCTCCTGCTCCCACCCTGCCCTCCATGCCCTGGGGAGGCACCAAGTCAATGGCCAACAGCTGCACACCTGTTCCTTAGAAACTGCTCATCTTGGCTGCAAGAGGCCAGAGCAGGTCTCCATGGTAACCAGCTGGGATGCAGCTGGGATAGAGAGGGGCACAGGAGCAGGGACATGACCAGGGCCCAGGCCTGGGTCCATAGAGGAGGCAGGCCCTTCTCCTCCTCCCAGACATGGTGTGAGGAGAGACAAATGCATATTCCTGCTTTCGGTCCACAGAGATGTCTGCGGTAACAGCCATGGGTCTAATTCTGCTTCCCCAAATCTCCCTCTGGCATTCGCTGAACTAGCAGCTTCTCATCATAACATTTGTCAGGCGGAGTGTTAAGCCTGTCAGAGTTAAGAGGGTTTGCTGTGGAGCACTGTCGCTGGGTTCCAATCCATCTTCCCTCTGAGTGCCCTTGGGCTGGTCCCCACAGTGGCACACTGAGCCTCAAGTACTAATCTGTATAAAGGGGAAGAACACTGCTTCCTTCTACAGATGCCAGGAGGCTTATATGAGAGCTGTCTGCACATCACTCCTGGGGAGCATGGCAAAGGCCTGAGGCCCCCAAGGGGTGTGTTTCCCAGAAAGTTTCTATCATCAGCAGGCTCCAAGGCCCAGCTGCAGTAAGCACAAGGCCAGGATAACCAAGGCCTTCCAGGGCTCAGGGTAGTGTGGAAGGGAAGGAGGGTCCGGGCAGCTCCAGTGCAGGTTGGTGGCAGCTGTGCAATGGAGCAGGGAAAACCAACTCCACAGCCGGGCCTTTTACAGGTGCCAAGTGGGGGCGACACCCTGGGTCCACCTCCTCTCCCTATTTCCCTGGCGGGGGCAGAGGGGAAGGAGGTGTGAGTGATGACTCAGCCGCTCCACTTGCTCAGGGAGAGAGATGTAGCAAGACTCCAGGTGGGCAGTGGGGTTTGTGCATGCAGAGGGCAGAGCTCTGTGCTGAGTCGCTGTAGGAGGAGGGGCCCCATGGCTCCCGGTCTGGGTGGAGACTGGACAGGAGGGCTCACTCCAGGAGGTCTGGAACAGAGTGGGGCCTGGTGGCTGCGCTCTGGCATCCACAGGGTCTTCCCAAAGTCTTTGATGAATGACTAAATCAACCTATGACAATTGCTCCCTCTCTTAGAACTGAAATTTCTGCTCCTTCTCTCCCCTACCCTGGGGGAGGGGGTCAGATAAGCAACACCAGAACTGTAGGGTCAGGGGTCACAGATTTGGGTCACTGTCCCCCACCGGCCTCTCCTCCTTGGACCATACCAGGTTTGTCCAGCATTTAAAGAGCCCCAGAGAGACGAGGTCAGGGCCTCACCAAGGTGAAGGCTATGAGTCCTGAGGCCAGCCTGGCCACTCAATGGCTGTCCAGTCCTTGCAGCTCTTTCTCTCTCTTTTTTTTTTTTTTGTACTGGGGATTGAACTCAGGTCTTTGTGCATGCGGCGAAACTACTGAGCTAAATCCCCAGCCTCCTTGCAGCTCTCTTGACCCACTGGGTGCCCCAGAGGGTTGATCTGGCTCTAACTATCTGGACAGAACCCCAGGAACCTAACTCTGCTCCCCATTGCTGTGAAATGACATTCTTTCATCCTGGGTCATTTAGGAGACGGAACAGTTTATGAAATGCATGTAAGGCTCACTGCCTGCCTGAGCCAGCCCTAACCTTTTCTGTCATGAGCTCCACATCTGTCCTCTACTCCATCTCCCGAGGGCTCCATTTGGCAGCCCCTGTAGTAAGCGCTGTCCTTTCCTTGAAGCAATGGCAAGAAATGACTCACACAGTAAACTCCTAGCAGCGGCCAGCACTGCTCAGTGGCTCACCTCATTTCCCACTTCAATCCCAAGTCTCATGAGGCCACATCATGGATCCTTGGTCCCCTTTCAGAGGGAAACAAGGTCCCAAAATCTGAGCCCATCAGCTGCAGTACAAGAAGATGCTTGAGACCCAGGATCCTGAGTTGGACAGACCTGGGTTCAAATCCAGGTGTGGCCACTTGCTATGTATGGTGTGAAACTTAGATAAGTTAAGGAGTCTCTCTAAACCTCCCTCCCACATTGGCAAATCAGCAATGGTAACAGTGTATCTATCAGTCACCTGGACTCTGAGTATTAAATGGAAGAATGTGCCTAAAGTAGCAAGACAATCAAAAGTACTTAGCCAATGATAATATTAATATATTCTTTTTAGCTTGAAGTCCCCTTGGGGACTTTCATACTAATTTTTTTTTAAGAGTAGTCATACTAATTTTTTTACAAGTGGCATTTTTTTTCCAAATAAAATCAATCACAAAACTTCATCTGTTTCAAAAGACAGAGGTAGCATTGGCCAGAGAGAGCTCCAGCCCCGCTCTGTGGTCAAGGAGGCCCATTAACCCTCTCAGGAGTCAGGGACTCCAAAGTTCAAGTCCCAGAGTCCCCCCTCTGGTCTGGCCCTGTGCCCCAGGATGCCCCTCTGCATTTCTCGGGAAAGCCACCGGATGCTGGCCTCCCCAGGCAGCCCCACACCCCCACACCAGATCTAGACCCACCTCCAGCTTCTGCTTGGTGTCAGCCCCCAGGAGGTCACGGACATCTTCATTGTAGATCTCCAGGTACGAGGCCTGGACCAGAAACTTAGTGTCCTCTGCACACTGTGGAGAGAGGACAGAGCACGCAGAGCATCTGATGCCAAGCCCAGCTGTGGCCAGGCCTGGGACCTCGACTGCAAGGACATCGTGGTGGGGGGTAGGGTCACACACTCCCCGCCTCTGTCTCACCCGGCCTGTTCTGGCAGACTTCCCTCCCTCCAGCTTGGTGGAGCATATTTTCACATAGCTATGTATCTAATGCTCTGTCTAAAAGCTTCATAGGAAAGAAACAAAGCTCTCAGGCAGAGAAACTGCAGCTACAGGTAAAGCTTGGACCAAGCACTAGCTCTAGGCTGGTCCTTGGCAGCTTTCCTAGACCCCTCCATGTTTCCCGGGGCCGCCACAGAGAGTCTGGGGTCCAGTGAGATAATTATGCGCATATAAATAAGACTTGGTCTGCTCAAGGCCCAGGCAACTGCTCCATAAAACAGGAGCTGTGATTGTACACCACTTCTCATCAGGGCTGAGTCCTCACATCCATAGAAATGTGAAAGGAAAGTTAAAATCCAAAAATGGCAGGAGAAAAACATGGTACTGGTGGGCAGAATTTTCTGGGGTTTTTTTTTTTTTTTTTTGGTCCTGGGGATGGAGCTTGGGTCCTTGCGCTTGGGCAGCAGGCGATGAAACCACTGAGCTAAATCCCCGGACCCCGAATGTTCTCAGTTTTAAGTTTTTCTCCCATCACCTCTTCAGAAACCAGCGCCTGCTGCGCATAGACCTGTGCCAACTCAAGGCCAGGCTCTGACTTCATCCCACAGTCCACAGGAAAGGTCAGAAGTGCCTTGGGGACCAGCCCACCTGTGACACTAGCCCTGCCCCTTCCCTCTGAGAGACCCATACCTGGACGCTCTCAAACACGTGCTCGAAGGCCCTGGGGATGATGCCCCTCTGGGAGGGCAGGTCCGGCAGGCCCTGCATGGTGAAGGATTTCCCGCTGCCTGTCTGGCCATAGGCAAAGATGGTGCCATTGTAGCCCTCGGTGACACCCTGCAAGGGAGGAAGCCAAAGCCAGGGGTTCAGCTGGGCAGGCCCAGGTGAGCGGTGCTTTATAGACAGCTAAGTTAGGTAAAGTATTACAAGCAGTCAGACAGGGCTGAGCCCTCAGAAAGTCAGGACAAAAGGTGACAACATACTACAACTGCAGGGCCCAAGACACGTAAGCCCAAGGCCAGACCTCAAGATAATGACAAAGGACCAGGCTTACATACGTCCCCAAGGGATGAGATAATTGATAATACTTGGTCTAATAAAGTCTACATAGGCATCAGTCACCTCAGTGGGTGACCAAGACCCCCACATGCATCACCTTCTTTATTCTTTCCATGTGTTCTTGCTACGTGACTTGTTTCCCAATTGGATCACCATTACCTAAGCAACTGCACTTGTAACCTTATTGATCATAGCTGTAATCCACGTTGTACCCATGTGGCTGTGCTCTATAAAACTCCCCTGGAAAGTGGCGTCCTTGGCCACCCAATCGAGACCTCTCCGGCCTCTCAGAAGCTATCCTCTCAATAAATATTTTCCTACTCTCAACCTCCACTGTTCCCAGAATTCATTCTTCAGTTTTAGAGAACACAAACTCAATATTAGAGACATCTAACAGGTTGGGAGTTATAACATTTCCCTTATATTATTTGGAGGTCCATATTTCACTCCTGTTTCAATGCCACCTCCTAACCCAAGGATTTTGGGGCCCTCCCTAGGTCCCCAGTTCTGTGGCACTGGCCTGGGGTGAGGAGTGGAGGAGTCATTAGTGGTCTATTTCTTGAGGTGGGAGACTGTCCCCATGGGCTTAGGAGCTTATGCTATGGAGCCTGACTACCAGGGTTCAAATCCTGTCTCCACCCTGGTGTGTGCCCCTGGGTGGGTCTTAGGCATTTTGAGCCTCGGTTTCCTCCTCTGTCATAAAGGGCAAGAACTGCACTCTGCCTGCAGCAGCTTATGCTTCGCTGTGGCACGTATTAGCACACAAAGTGCAGGCATATGCAGGTGCTCCCTAAATGTCAGCATATGGAGGGAGGCCAGGTATAGGAGTGAGTCTGTCCCAGCGTTCCAGAAGGGGGGAACCAGGACAATGTGGGGAGAATCAGGCAAAGCCTTCTAGGGAGCAAGGATGGCGCACACAGAGAGAGCTGGCAGGCTGGCCGGACTCTGACAGGTGAGAGGACAGTCCGAGCAAAGACACGGGAGACACTGACAGCGTGGAGCGGGGGCCAGAGTGAAGATGAGGCTGGGAAGGAGGCCTGGAGGCAGGCTGAGAACTGCCCCGAAGTCCTTCTCTGTCCACTGGTGCAGACAGCTACCCACAGCTACTGGCTGTCTTCTGTGTGCTGGGGACAGGGCAAGGTACAAGGTGGACATGGCTCCTGCTCACACAGAGCTCATGAGGGCACAAGTTCTAGAACTCACTATGGGTGTGAGAGAGGCCCCTGCATCAGAACATGGGCCCTGAGGGCTGCTCCAGCCCCAGGCCTGGGTGGCACCCATGCCCTGTTCCACCTCGAAACCCACGCTTCAGACCAGCTCAGCAGGCATCCCCAGGAGCTGCTGGTACCAGAAGGTCAAAGCCACCATTCACAGCTCCTCTGTGGACAAGGCCTACTTAGACAGGGCAGAAATGGATGAGCACCTCGTCTTTGTCCAAGGAGACCATGACCACAGTGTGGGCGCCTGCAGGTCCTCTGGGCAGTGGCTGCACACACACATGCGGCCTCCCAGGTAGCACAGGCAGTGAAAAGTCACCTAACCAGGGGCCTGGGCTGGCTTCCCCAGCTGACAGGCAGAGACAGCGGGAGCACACAGGGCTCCAGGCATGGACATGACCTAGGCTTGGGGGTGAGGGACATGAAAATTAAACTAAATTTATTTTATTTTCATGAACTAATGTTTAATTTTTTTTCTTTTGCTGTGCTGGGGATCAAACCTAGGCCCTTGCACATACTAGGCAAGCACTCTAGCACTGAGCTACATTCCCAGCTCTATTTTATTTTAAGTAACTTATATTTAAAAATAGAGGGAAAAAAAAAAAAAGCTAGGGATTTAGCTCAGTGGTTTCGCTGCCTGCTGTGCAAGCCCAAGGACCCGAGTTCGATCCTCAGTACCAAAAAAAAAAAAATAGAGGGGACTGGGGATTTAGCTCAGTGGTTCTGGCACCTGCTTCGCAAGCACAAGGTCTGGAGTTCAATGCCCGGTACCAAAAAAAAAAAAAAAAATAGAAGCAAGCTGGGCATGGTGACACACAACTGCAAATCCCAGCACTCGGGAGGCTGAGGCAGGAGGATCTCCCTGAGTTCCAGGCCAACGTATGCTGCATAGTGAGTTCAAAGCCAGCCTGAACTACATAGTGAGACTCTGTCTCAAAAATATCAAACAAAACCAAACAAAAAGCAGAAGCAGTATAAAACATTTTTCCATTAACCACAACTGCATCTTTTGTGTTTCATTTTAATGACTGAAACTGAGATGTTCTATAACTGTATAGAATACAGAACACATTATAAAACACCTCATTAATATTTCTTTTCTTTTTTTCGGTACCAGGGATCAAACTCAGAACCTTGCACTTGTGAGGCAGGCGCAGCACCAGTGAGCTAAATCCCTGGCGCCCTTCTTTTCTTTTCTTTTCTTTTCTTTTTTGAGTCAGGGTCTCACTTTGTAGTTCATGCTAGCCCTAAACTCACTATGTAGCCCAGGTTGGCCTTCAACTCACGGCAATCCTCCTGCCTCAGCCTCCAGAGTGCTTGGATTACAGATGTGCACCACTATACCCAGCTTAATATTTCTTATATAATGACAATATGCTATTCTATTTTATTGAAGTGATAATATTCTGGCTTACTGTACTGGGTAAAATGTGGCCACCAGGAAGACTTGAGTTATATATGTGTCTCCTCTGGTATTTGTGCTGGAGGGCATTGCTTCAGACCATCCAATATGGTAGCCTCCAGCCACATGTGGGCATTAAGTTAAATTAAATTAAAATCCAGTTTCTCCACAGCCCTGGCCTCTTTCAAGTGTCACTCACCACCATGTGGCCTCTGCATGTCTAATTAACCGGTCAGTGCAGACACAGATCATTTCCACTGACCTAGAAAATTCTACAGGGTAACAGTGCTCTGGAGTTCAGTAGCAAACAGTTCTCAGTGTATTTCTACAGCAGGCCCCATGGGACAAGCACACACACAGAGCAGGTCCCGAGTGCACCACATGGACTCCCACCCCAGTTCTGCCACAGCCACTCACATTATTTACTAAAGAGTTTCATGAAATCAATGGTTAATCAAGTGTGTTTTTGTGTCTCTGTCTGTCTGTCTGTCTGTCTGTCTGTCTGTCTCTCTCTCTCTCTGCTGGAGATGGACCCAAGGCCTCTTTTTTTTTTTGGTACTGGGGATCAAACTCGGGTCCTTGCACTTGCACAGCAGGCGGTGAAACCACTGAGCTAAATCCCCGGCCCCCAAGGCCTCTTTTTAACTTGGTGTTATCTTCAGCAATGATGCTCATGAACTCGCATTACAGACTGAAAGTGTTACACATTTTAGCTATTGCTAAAATTAAAACATCTGTTCTGAATTTCCCCCATCTTCTCTTTCTGCTCCCTCCTGAATATCCCATCTAGGGCCCAATCCAACATCTTCCCATCTCTGATGTCTCTGGAAACCAGGCTCATCTCACTCTCCTCAGCCTGGACAGGGCAGACCCTATGCTAAGTGGCTCCTGGGTGGACTAGGCTGAGACAGCAGAGGCTGCTCGGAGGCCATGGGTGTGAAGGAGCAGGAGGAGAAGCTGCAGACCCACTGGTTAAGCAGAGACCTTGGGTCAGGCATAGTGGCACACACCTATAATCCCAGCTCATAGGGAAGCTGAGGCAGGAGAACCAGAAGTTCAAGTCCCACCTGGGTAACTTAGCAAGATTCTGCCTCAAAACTAAAAAATTAAAAAAGGGGTTGGGGATGTAGCACCCAGGATAGTTGAAAAGGCCACCCAAGGACAAAAGATCAGGAACAGAGGCTGGATTTAAAAGGTGGAGAACAAAATGGAAAGGGCAGAAAGTGAGAAAGTGGCAGCTGGGAGTGCCCTGGCATTGGTCCTGAGCAGGAGGCTCCCTGAAGCTTGCTCTGGGGCCCAAACCACCAGCCAGAGCGCCCTGGGAGCAGTGTAGGAGCCGCACACCGGGCCCTAGGCCCTAGCACTGCACCTGCTCCTGGCTCAGAAATAGCCTCAGCTGTGATTTGTGTGTTATTTGAATGCTGTTTTGCATATGATTTGCTTGTTGCTCCTTTAATTTGAGGCAGCAGGATAAAGCATGGGAACTAGGCACTGGGAACCAGAACTGTCCTAACTTCTTCCCTGACTCTCCAGGCCTCAGGCCTCATTAGGAACAGCAACTCCAGCTCTTCTTATAAAGACCAAATGCTACATGCTGGTCTCTACCTGGAGGGCCCTTTCTTCCACCTTCCTGTCTGGCAGACTCTTCTCACCCTTCAAATCTCAGCTTTGGCCTCCCCTCTCCAGCGGGTCCTTCCAGGGGACCTGCCCTCCCCATGCTGCTGAAGCCCCCCAGGCTTCTTCTGCTCAGGACTCTGGCCTGTAACTATCAGCTTAGCTGCTCCTCCCTCTGCCCTTGAGCTTGCTGATGGCAGTGGGTGTCTCCTCCACATGCACCCCAGGCCTACATGATGCCCAGAATGGAGATGCTGTTGTTTAGTTAGCTGGGTGAATGAATGAATATCAAATCTGAGGCTGTGCAGAACAAACAGAAGCAGGGGTCTGCACCAGCAGAAGTCAGGAGAGAAGAGAGCGCTAAGGAGAGGTTTGATAGGCCTGTCACTGCGCCCTTGGTGTCTCCCTCTCTAGGCTGGGGTTTCCTGGGGACAATGATGGAGAGGTTGCTCAGAACATTTCTCCAGGATGGGGAGGGACCAAGACCACTCCAAGAACAAGCTGAAGGCCCTAGAGGAGGTCAGGCCAAGGAAGAACATGCTGTCGAAGTTGTTCTGGTCCCTGGGACAGAGCTAGGGCAGGCGGCTGAAAATGTCAAGGCTTTGGTGAGGTGTGCAGATTGGTCTTCTGGGAACCCAGAAGCAAAGGTAGAGCAGGCTGCTCTAGGCAGCTCAAGGCCTGGTCAGTGCAGACTCGCACATGAGAGCTGGTCTCCTCCACCAGGAGGACATTAGGGGACTCAATGGAAGAGGAAGGCTGGGTCAGATGGGGCACCAGGTCCCTTCCAGTCTGGGAGTTCAAGCCAGCCAATGGACAACCTGCTGTCACTGCAGCCAGGGCCAAGCCCTGGGGGAGCTGCCCCTCAGCCTCCAGGCATCATCTCCTCAGGTCCCAGCCACCAGGGACACCTCAACCATCTCAGGCGCACTGACCTCCACCAGCCAGTCAGCTAAAACTGAAAGCGTTTTTGAGAACACTGACTTAAATAAGTCAAGTTGGTTTCTTTCTTCACTTTGGGACTTCTCAGGGCCTCTGACATCCCACCACGTCCTGTGAAGCTTCTCCCAAACGGTTCCTTTCTCCATGGAACGACCCTTGATGTGTCACTGACCTAGCCCTTGGTTACACGTAGGGAGATGCTGGCAGAAAGAGCTGCCAGAAACTAATGTGGAAGCTGGGACAAGATTCCTCCCTCCAGACTCAGTCTCCCCATGTGTGAAATGTGAGTGGCTTCCCTGTCAGGATGTACATGTGAGCTGCCAGTGTGAATCAAGCCCTAGGAAGCCAGGAACTGTCAGATGCGGAGGGGGTAAGAGATGGCTAGACCAAAGCTAAACCAGCCAGGGGCCTTCTGGGGAAGCAGAGATCAGTGGGGTCTTTTCTCCACCACGACGCTGCCCTAGCAAGGATGAGGCTGAGATGGAGGAGAGGATTCAGCTGGCGAGGGTGCCAAGGACAGAAAGTTCAGTCAGTGCCTGGGCGGGGAGGAGTGGGGGGCCTGGAGTCTCCGGAGGGAAGGGGCCGGACAGGGGAAGTGGCTGGAGCTTCCAGGGTCCTGCAGGTCTGGGGTCAGAGTGGAGGGCAAGTGGTCCTAGGCCTGGAGTTCTCCGGGGAGGAGGGCCAGCGTGGCGCTAGGTTCAGTGGAGACCTGAGCAGGTGTTCAGAACAACCTGCTGCTATCTATCCCCCTCCGCCCCTCACATCTAAGGCCTCCTCCCGGTTTGGGGGCAGTGCCGACTGTCCCTTGGGGTGGCCCCGCACCCAACCCGCCTGTCTGGAAGGCGGCGCCCTCACCTCCACTAGCGGGTAGGCGATGTCATTGTAGATCTGCTCCGTGAAGTGCTCCATGTGGTAGGCGCCATCGAAGGTGAACTGCTTGGGGGGCTCGGCGGCGGCGCCTGGGTTCTGGATGAAGCACTGGCCGCGCGCGGAGTCGACAGTCACCACTGGCTGGCAGTTCAGCTCCCGCTCTCGCTGGTTCATGGGGCGACAGCGCACCACCACCTTCACCATCTCCGAGGCCATAGCGGTCGGCGGGGGACCCCTGGGGGCCGGGAGGGGCGGGGCGGCTCGGGGCGTGGGGGATGGGACTCCTGGGGGGCGCCCCGAGAGGAGGATAGGGGCCACGGGCAAGTCCCAGAGGCCGGGCCGGACGGCGAAATGGGCGTCCGCGCTGCACACGCCACCGCCCCCGGACCTGAGCCCGAGCCATCAGGCCGCCCGCTCCCACGCGTTCGCCGTTGCCGGGCAACGCCCGTGGCGTCACTAGTGCGGCTACACGGCGCGCGATTCCACCCTGGGGCTGAAGATCCGAGCACTCAGGCTCCTCTCCCCAGCCCAGAGCTCAGCAGTTTTGCAGTCTGCCAATCGGGCTCAGCCCGGGAATCCACGCTGAACCTCGAAGACCAGGAGGGGAGGGCTCCCACAGAGGTTAGAGGCTCACAGAGAAGGGAGACAAGGGCCTTGATCTTCTCTAGATTCAGAGGAAGGCCGCCCACAGCGGCAAGGTCAATTGATGCCAGTCTTTTTCCTGAGGCTTAAGGTTTATTGATTTATTTATTGTTTGTGTTTGTTTTTTTGAAACAAGGCCTTGCTAGTTCAGGCTGGCCTCGAACTCATAGCAATCCTCCTGCCTCAGCCTCCCAAGTGCTGGGATTACAGGTGTACGCCGCCACGCGCGGCTATAAGAGCCTTAAGATTTTAGACTGAGGTAGAAAGATCATAAGTTCAAGGTCAGCCTGAACAACATAAATATTTATCAAAATAAAAAGGGGAGTGTAGCTCAATAGTGGAGCACCCCTGGATTGGATCTTCAGGATTCGGGGGATAGGTATCTTAAAACACAAACTTTAGAAAGTTTGGAAAAGCCATTCAGAACATCCCCCAGCCAGAAGAGCGGCTCTGTCATGCCTCTAGAATCAACCCCCTCTGCACAGAAACATACCAGGCACTGTGACAGATGCTGAGAGGACAACCCTCCCCAAGGCCATAGTCTATCGGGGGACTGACATTGAAAACAAAAACCCTAGAAAGTTAGGCCCAGAATTTAGCTCAGTGGTGCCATGCCTACCTGGCAAGTGCAAGGTCGTGTGTTCCATCCCCAGTTTTGGGGGAAAAAAATCCTAGACAGTCCCCAAAATGAAAAAAGTACGAACTAAAGAACCAGTTCTGTAGAACATCTAAAAAGGCAACCTGGGTCTAGGCCAAGTGATGGCGAACCTTTTACAGTTTTCAATGATAACAAATAGGCCACTGCAGCATGCAAATCATAGATTCAGCCACCACTGGCTAGGCAGTCAGGACAGGTATATCCTAAGACTGACTAGAGCTGCACTGCAACAGCTGAGGAGTTAACCAGGCTAAGGGGAAGATGACAAATCATGTCTGGGCTGTGCAAAGGTCCTGTGGCATGTTGCAGAGGCAGAAGGTAAGCCCAAAGTGCCAGAGCACACGGTCTTGAATCTTTTTCCAATAGGAGATACTGAGTGCAGGCTTACAGCAAAAGAGAGATTGGATTTGATTAAACCTACCCAATTCCTTCAGGACATTATCAGCCCCCAGGAATAAAATTTCATCCATCTGGTTCACCACTCTGCACCAGCTGAGGGTATGTTTGTGTTTAGCAAACACCAAACATGCAAACTGGATGAAGGCCATGCCTTTCAAGGAAAAGTCTGCACTCCACATTCTGAAGAAACGTATTTTATTTGTTTCACAGGTCACACAATAAGGAAAGTTGGGTTCCCTATGTGGTGCTAGTTGGAACAAAGACAAAACTGTGGTCTGTCATTAAGACATGGTGAGTCCACACACATATGCAAAACCCTTGCCTTATTTGTAACACCTGATCAACAGATGCTGCTTGGAGGAATGCTACTGGGCTTGCTGAATATCCACACCAGTGATTCCACAGCACCCCTGCCCCTCCGAGAGGGGTCCTGGCTCAAGTGCTAGCCAATGGCCAGGCTTCCTTAAGTGCAGGTCTCTGGTGCTGTAATCCTAGGTGCAGGATTTTCCTTTCCCTGCCAGGGGAGTGAGGCCGGAGCCTCACCCAGATATCAGTGCTCTCTGACCTCAGAGCCCAGGAGGGTGGGCTCCAGCTGCTTACTCGCATTCAGCATGAAGTCAGTGCAATGTTTCCAGTGAAAAGAGCCCCCAAAGGACATTCCTTCTAACCCTGTGGCACCTGACTCAAAAGAAAGTGACCAGGGGCCAGGGATGTAGCTCAGTGGTTCCAGCGCCTGTGTTCAATCCCAGGTACCAAAAAAAAGTGACAGAGTCCCTAGCCAAGACCATGTCCTGGTGGTGGTGGTGGGGAACATCATGCATGTCTGCCTCCCCTCAGTCCTGCTGGGGCTGCCCTCTTCCTCCCCAGAGTCAGCAATGTTACTTCCAAGGCAACGATCAGAAGACCCCACACCCTGACAGCAGAGAGGGTGATCCCATAACCTAGTCTTCACCTCAGGAGTACAATTTCATCTGACATGAACTTGGCTGGGTAGATTCGTATTTATCTGCCAAGTCGACTTACAAAGGTGATGCCTGCATTCATCAGGTACCTGCAGGCCACCTCCTTCCACCAGAATGGCTTCCCCAGCTCTCCCCTGCCTGCTGAGGGCCAGCTCCCTCTGACAGGGCTCTACCTTTGGGGACTCTGTTCTGTCCCATGCCTGGTGAGACAGATAGCCCAACACCATGGCCAGGCCTATATCCAAGGGAACACCAGGATCAGGTGGCTTCGCGAGGCAGCCACCAAACCCACCAAACGAACGTGGTCTGCTGGGTGAGCTGGCAGGGCAGGGACTCACACTCCTGCAAGGGTCTGGTTTCCTGTCAGGAGCTCTCTGGAGGCTCCCAGGCAGGGCCCAAGGCCTGGCCTCCTTGGGAGAGGTCAGCACAGCTCCCCATGAAAAGATCTCATGCAAGGAGCAAAGTTACCCTGCGAGACAAGCATCCCTGTCACCCTGAAGTTCCAGGAAGCCTAGAGCTCCACCTGCTCCTTCTAGAATCTCAGCAAGCCACAAACCCAATCTCAGGGCTGCTCTATAGCAGGCAGTGAAGCGATGGAAGACTGGTCCAGGGAGCAGAGAGAGATGAACTGGTGGCTGGTCGGTGGGGTATGACAAGGGTGGAGCAGCTCCTGAGGCTGGAGCCAGGGCTAGGCTGGCCTGTGATCAGGGCTCACTTCCTAACCCAGGCCCAGCAGCTCTGCCTCAGACTTGGCGTGGCTGAGGGGCCGCAGAGTCCGGGGGGGCCTGCTCTCGGGCCCATAGTCCTGCTCCTCGTAGATGGGGTTCAGGCGGCCCATGTCCAGGGGGCAGAAAAGGCTGCTTTCCATCCTAGCATGGTTCTCCACCAGGGCCTCCAGACTGGGGAACTGTGTTGGCAGGTGCTGGGGAGGAAGGGTTCTCAGCTCCAGGCCCATCCCACGGCTCACCTGGGGCCCCAGCCATCCCCACCACACCCCCATTTCGGAGAGCAGGAAACAGCACTCAGAGAGGTCACATGTGCTGTCATGGCCCAGCCAGACACCATCTCCTCTCTCCTCCCGCCTGGGCAGGACAATACTTGACTGGAGACTCAGAGGCTGTATGAGCTCAAGCACTTTCCTCCTTTGCTAAAAATGGTCTAGGCGCTAGGTGGTGGGAAAGCAGGATTTTTAAAAGCTGAATTTATATAAAAATGTAAGGTGTCATGTAGACCCGACTCTACTTGAGGTCCCCTCAAAAGCCCCTTCTAAAGAGGGGACCTGACATCCCTCTTGTCTTCCATGAGCTTCCAGGTCAAGGCACAACCAGCAGAGCAGGGACGGGGCCACATGGGCCAGGACCAATGAGGAAGGAGCAAGACAGTGGAGGCAGGATGGATAGTGGGTAAGAGGTGGGGCCAGAGAGAGCCAATGGGAGCAGGGTAGGCAAGCTCAATAGGTCAGCCTTTACAAAAGGGAGGGATAGGAAGGACAAAGCGTGGGGTCAATGACAGGGTGGGGCCAGACCCCTCCCCACAAGGCTCCCAGGCTCTTACCTCCAGGCAGTAGCGGCCCAGGTGGTTCCGGAAGACCTGGTGAGGTACCACACCACACTGTGTCTGCACAGACAGGCACCACTGGCCGCTGGTACTGGGCTCAGGCCACAGCAAGAAGGCACCAACCACATCTCTCCGAAGCAGGGCCAGTGCACAGGTTCTGGGGCACCAACAGCAGAGCCTTAAATTAGGATTTTTAGTCTGGAGCCAGCCTCAGGCTGCTGGCCTGGGCCTGGATGTAACAGCCCAAAGGATGTACAGCCCAAAGGATGTAATAAAGGATGGGCCTGGATGTAACAGCCCAAAGGCATGGAGGCAGTCTGGGATTAAATAAACGCCCTTAAAAAACAGCACCTGACCAAGGGCAAGGGCAGCTGCTCAACAAAAACAAGCTCTTAGGAACTTAAAGGGACCTACAGGCCTGACATGGTTGCATACATGTAGCACTCTGGAAGGCTGAGGCAGGAAGATGACAAATTTGAGCCCAGCCCAGCAATTTAGTAACTTAGGAGACCTTATCTCAAAATTTTAAAAAAGTTAAATGAGCTGGTAATGTAGCTCAGTGTGAAGGGCTTAGGTTCAATCCCCAGTACAGCAAAAATTTTTTAAAATTAAAAAATAAAAGACCTTACACATCCTTAATTGTTGGAAACTTCAAAATCCCATCAGGAGAGGTCTAAAGAGCCGACAGCTAGGGCCAGTTGCCCTGTGATAGGCCAGGCACTGAGGGCTTTTTACCTATCACTTCATGTGATTTCTCCACAGCCTGTGAGGATGGTCCCATTATACATATTTTACATTTGGGAAAACTAAGGCCCAGGCTGGGGAAGTCCCTGGCCTGAGGTCCCTGAGGCTGGGAGCACTGTGCCCATGCACAGGGGTACACATCGGGGCCCTGGAGACATCCTCCCATTTTCCCACCCACCCCAGGGAACTGGGCATCAGGCCAGACCCTTCCTACCTAGAGAGGCCAGCGAAGGCCCAGATGTTCTCTGTCAGGCTGCCCTCGATCTCCACCAGGCACGGGGGGCCACCAGGACTTCGGGGCCATGCCTCCCATGCAGCAGGATCTATGGAGACCATCCAGGGCCAGAGGGAGAGAGGCAAATCCTCCCCTGACCAGCCTGCCCTGCTGCCTCAGGCTCTCCCGCTCTGTCCTCTCCCCAGGCCCCGCTCCCTCCCCAACTCACGCCCATTCAGCAGTCAGTAAAGCTCATGCACAGCTGCACAGTCACACAGTAACCGTGCAGGCCTCAAGCACACAGCCTGGATGCACACACACCCAGCCAGTGACACACACACACACAATCACATTCCCAGGCTGCACCCTGACTCACAGGACTCCCGTGCTGACAGCTGCAGCTGGGCCTCGTAGGTGCAGCCCCGGTAGGCCCCTGAGCGGATCACTTTACTGCGAATGGCCTTCTTTCGCACCAGTGTGGGCGAGCAGTAGGGGTTCCCCAGGCGGGCATGGCGGCCGCTGCGGCCTTCTGATTCGGGCAGCTCCTTCTAGGGCACCAAGAGGGTCCAGTGGGCAGGCAGATGCAGGCCCAGCCATGTCAGGCCAGGCAATATCCCCAAAGCCCACCCCTCTACCTCCACCATGACCTCCAAGCCCTCGCCCAGTGGCCTTGTCCACTGCCCATCCCTGGCTAGGGTGCAGGATACCCCACTATTGCCCCCAGCACCTCAGCTGGCAGCCGTCGCAAGGAGACCAGGGCATGGACGTTCTGTGAGAGCTGATTACGGCTGAAGGGCTCCCGAACCAGGGTAGCGAGGCCCCCAGGGCTGGGCAGTGGCTTCGGGTACAGGTTCCCTGCAGGCCCAGGGGACAGCTCAGACTGTGCCCGCTCCTCAGGGTGCTGCAAGAGGTAAGCAAGCTGGAAGGAGCGGCAGAGCAGCAGGTACAGGATCTGCATCTAGAGTGGGAGAAAGGCAGGCTCAGATAGAAAAAGCTCCCTGGGGCGCCCCAGGCATCTACTTGCTCTCCAAGGGTGCATGCAAACCCTGAGCTTGGGGTGTCTTTCTCTTTTCCTCTTGGGAAAACTCCTACTTAGCCCTCAAAACCTCCCCACCCTGCAGTCTCCCTACCAGCCTTCCTTATTCATTTAATGAATACCTACTTTGTTCTGCGCATCCTGCTGGGACCACTGAGTCTACTCCCTGTGCCTCACCCTAGCACCTTCTTGGAGAAGTGGCTGGTGTCAGAACCTAGGCTCCAATCCTGGCCATCACTTAGGAACTGCATTGTGACCATGGTGCAGCATGGCGCCCTGTGTGCCTCAGTTTCCTCATCCCCACCTCCCTGTGTCCCTTTGAGGAGTGAATGAAGTGGACCACAGAAAACTCCCACACAAGCCCAGCACCTGTCTGGGGCAGTGCCTGCACACCATCCAGGGCCAGCATGTTAGAACCTCGAGCTGCAACCACCTGTCACCCCAGTGTCAAACACAAGGCTGAACATACAACAGTGACAGCAGATGCGTGCTGGATAGAATGACCTCAACCTCTGCTGCCACACAGCTGTGGCTCACGCTGGTCACACTGGCTCCAACTGCCGGATCTACCTGCCTGTGATTCACTGGACCCACCCGCACAGGGCCATGCACTGGGACAGTCCAAGCCCTGGCCCCAGGCTCTCCACTCAGGGACCTCAAGCACCAGTGCTTAGTGACAGACGAGCTGGAGTGGTCCTGTCACAGGCTCTGCAGGAGGGGCTTCACAGACATGTGGGGCTGAGCCCTGAGGGTAAGGAGGTGAGGAGGGCAGGGCAGGCATTCAGGCAGAGTGGCACCAGCAACAACCTGACAGGTGACCTGCACATTCGTACTCTGGCCCCCAGGGAATGCCAAGGCCACCAACTTGCATGGAGTAGAGGAGTCCTTAGTGGGCAGGGCCAAAGAAGGATTCAGTACGATAAGGGGTCGGTTCCTAGAGGGCCTCAGGCCAGCTCTGCCAAGCCCAGAGGCCTCCATCCTGACCATCCCAGCCTGGGTGTATTCCCTGCTTTGGGATCCAGATACCTCTCCAGGCTGGCTGCCCACAAAGAGGTGGCAGAAGAGTCTGCTGGCTGGGTTTCGTGGGTTCCGAGCGACGAAGGCAAACTGGCAGCGGGCTGGGCTCCAGGTAGAGTAGAGGATGCGCCGCAGGGCGTGGGCCATCAGGAGCACCTGGGAGCAGTGTCACCAGGCCACATCAGGACCCTGACCTGTACGCCTGACATCCAAGCAGGGCCACCTTGTCTCCTGCCCAAAGCTGGCCTTTCCACAGCCTCAGCGCTGGGCAGGGCTTGATGTCTCTGATGTCAGAGGCTAGGAGTGGCCCCTGGAGATTTTTGAAGGGCAAGGGTGAGAGGCACCATCCAGGGGACCCTTAGTTGTCCAAAGGCCCAGAGCAGATGGACAGGATGGGGGCTCAGCCAGGCCCTGCAGAAGACACACCTGTGTCAGTCCAGCCTCCCTCCCTCCACCTGCACCAGTTGCTCCTACCTCTCCCTCCCCGCTGTAGATCTTGAGACCCTGCAGGTTGAATTTCAGGATGACAGCTCGGCGGCGGGGACAGTCCTGGGTGGAAGAGGTTTGGTGGAGGCAGGCATTACCTCCCAGTCCAGCCCCAGGACTACCCACCAACTCCACCAACTCTGCCAGGATACAGAGCCCTGGGCAGTGGATGCTCAGAAGTTGGGAGTGGGAACCCCTGAGCCAGTTCGCAGCTCCTATCCCACCTACGGTTTCCAGCTTTGCTTTGCGAGTGGCCTGAGGAAGTTCGGAGCAGGAGGGCCAGGGCTGCAGGAGCCTGGGTGCAAGCGTGCCCACCTTCACGTGAGGGGAAGGGCCTCGTCTGGTCTCAGGGCTGTGATCCCATGGGGATGCGCCCCCCCCTCACCTTCAGTGCCCACAGCTGCTGCCGCACCAGCCACACACCCTCCTGCATATCCAGGTCATCCACAGGGAAAGAGCCCACGTACTGCAAGGCAGCAGGAGGGAACAAGGCAGGGAGTCAGGCCACTTCCTCCAACCCAGCCCCGACACACACACATCCTTCACCACCAATACACTGGGGACAGGGACAGGGCACCACCCTTGGAATCCAAGCTCTGCCACTCTCCTAGTGACCTTGGTCAGGTCACTCAAGCTATCTGCCTGTGCGCAGTACATACTATGAGGTCTGGGACAGAGAGGAGACAGAGAGGTAGGTCCTCCATCCTACCTGCTCACTACCTCCTGGGCCAGCCTCAGCAACCACCCAACAGAACACACCCACCTGGGCAAATTTGGTGATGCACCTGGGCCGGTAGAGGGTGGGCCCACAGTCAGAGGCCCTGCGGCCACCAGCCCCAGCCCTCTGCATGGCTCCCAGCGTGGCTGCTTCAGGCTCCACGAGAGAAGGCTGCAAAGGGCAGGGACAAGGTCAGTTTCCCTCAGTGCTCCCCAATCAGAGGCTGGCCAGTTCATCTGTTCATTCCCTCATTCATTCATTCATTCATTCATCCCACAAATCCTCACTGAGTGCCTACTATATGCCCCTCGATGTCCTAGGCCCTGGGGACACAGTCCTGAGAAATGGTGAAAGCTGCCTACCTTCACAGGGAAAGACAGGAAGCTACACGAGAGGTCAGATGGAGACGAAGCAGGGGAGAAGGCAGGAAAGGCGGGGGTGGGG